CTTTCGGGTTTTCGGCATTATATTCGTACTACCGTGTGAGTTCTGCGTGGCTTACTCTGAAAGCTGAAAGCCATTGCTGAAGTTGATGATTTATGGATTCCTTAAACTTGTTGAAATAAGAATAGATAGAATATCATAGTGGTTGTATGAGTCTTAGTTTTTTTGTTTAATAAAACAGTTATCCAATGAGCCATACAGAAATTTATCTAACTCAGACTCAGACAATATCGGGATTTCCACGCTCCTATTTCTAATCTAATGTCTTCAATCAATTTTTTTTTTTTTTAAATGGCATGGAAGGTTATCCATTTGCCACAAAATTATATAAGTTTATATAATTATTATTATATAATTATACATATTATATTATTTATATAAGTTTAAGTTGATTATATAAGCTGGTCAACTTTGTACAAGAAGTTGCATAGTAACTCAAATATTATTTTTTGGTTAAGGGAAAGTAAGTGAGCAACATTAACCGGTAATTGAACGTTATTAAGTAATAGTCCATTGTAAAGTAGTTCAATTTCATCATTATTTTTTGAGCACTTAAAGAAGATATGATTCATGTCGCATATAGAAGCATTATCGCATGAACACACAGCAGATGGAATAATGTGCAGCTTCGCGAGGTGAACTGGGAATCTACCGTGGTTACATTTTAAGCGTGATATAGTAGCAGCTGACTTTTTGGAGAAGTTGAAGGTGAATATACAGGGTGACAATTTGAAAACTTACCACCCCCCATATCTTAGTAAATAAACGAGATATTTAAAAAAATCAAAATCCGTTTCGGTAAGTCGAAGGGGGAATCACAATGACATAGTTGGCGACGCACCCCCTCCAACCCCCTGCGTCCCAGCCACCCCAACTTTTAAATCTTAAATAGTGACCCTCCATGTGTGATACGTCGTTGGAAAGCTCATACCAAATAGCATTACATTTAGGTTAGTAATTATCGTGCAAATCAAAAAATAAACTAATATGATACATTTGAAATCTGTCATTTTTACAACGCAACCGGCGAACATAGACGAATATTCAAGAATGTCGAAATATTGCAAAACCAACATTGGAAAGGTTCGACAAGAGTTTGAGAATAGATTATAACTGGCGATCAAAAATGAGTTGCTGTCGAGTCGGCTTTGGAAGTTGAAGTTAAATACGATTTTCCATGTTTATTTTTTGATTTGCACGATAATTACTAACCTAAATGTAATGCTATTTGGTATGGTTGGAAAGCATTTTTTCAGAGCTTTCCAATGACGTATCACACATGGGGAGCCACTATTTAAGATTTAAAAGTTGGGGGGGGGGGCGGCTAGGGCGCAGGGGTTGTGAGGGGGTGCGTCGCCAACTATGTCATTGTGATTCCCCCTCCGAATTACCGAAACGGATTTTGATTTTTTTGAATATCTCGTTTATTTACTAAGATATGGGGGGTGGTAAGTTTTCAAATTGTCACCCTGTATGTGGGATGTCTTTTGGTAAGGAAGGATGAAGGAGGAAGTATTGGTTATAAGAACTATGGGAATTTTCCACCCATTTCTGTTGCCACTTGTCCTGAATGCTTGCCACCCATTTCTGTTGCCACTTGTCCTGAATGCTTGCCTGATGCCACCTTAAATCAGATACTGTTGAAATGTTTTCAGTTTTTCCAGTTCTAATGGAATCTTTTGCAAGACGGTCGACCATCTCATTGCCCCGTATACCTGTATGACTTATGGTCCAAATAAATGTGATATCTTTACTTGCTACTTTGTTTTTTATATCACATAATAGACTACATCTTTTTGGATTTTCCGTAATATTTTTTAAACCCTCTAAAACAGATTTTGAGTCTGATACAATCACTGCTTCTTGTATATTGTTATCCTCCAACCAATGTAGCGCTCTATCAATTGCCACAGCTTCTGCAGTAAATATAGAACAGACTGAAGGAAGTTTAATCTTCAAGGACTGATTAGTGTGAGGCATATACAGGGTGACAATTTGAAAACTTACCACCCCCCATATCTTAGTAAATAAACGAGATATTTAAAAAAATCAAAATCCGTTTCGGTAATTCGGAGGGGAATCACAATGACATAGTTGGCGACGCACCCCCTCACACCCCCTGCGCCCTAGCCACCCCAACTTTTAAATCTTAAATAGTAGTGATACCCCCCATGTGTGATACGTCGTTGGAAAGCTCTGAAAAAATGCTTTCCAACCATACCAAATAGCATTACATTTAGGTTAGTAATTATCGTGCAAATCAAAAAATAAACATGGAAAATCGTATTTAACTTGAACTTCCAAAGCCGACTCGACATCAACTCATTTTTGATCGCCAGTTATAATCTATTCTCAAACTCTTGTCGAACCTTTTCAAATGTTGGTTTTGCAATATTTCGACATTCTTGAATTATTCTCTGTCTTAGTTCGTCTATGTTCGCCGGTTGCGTTTTAAATACGACAGATTTCAAATGTATCATATTAGTTTATTTTTTGATTTGCACGATAATTACTAACCTAAATGTAATGCTATTTGGTATGGTTGGAAAGCATTTTTTCAGAGCTTTCCAACGACGATCACACATGGGGGTCACTATTTAAGATTTAAAAGTTGGGGTGGCTGGGGCGCAGGGGGTTGGAGGGGGTGCGTCGCCAACTATGTCATTGTGATTCCCCCTCCGAATTATCGAAACGGATTTTGATTTTTTTAAATATCTCGTTTATTTACTAAGATATGGGGGGTGGTAAGTTTTCAAATTGTCACCCTGTATACTGCACATCCAGTGCTGCCATCTTCCTGTTTTGACCCATCCGTACATAATATTGTTTTCTCCAAGTGGTCACTCAATATGGATTTTAATATAATGTTGTTTAGTATAGAGCAATCCGAGTATTGGGGAGTAATGATTTTGGTAATTGATATCAAGGATCTATAATCCATGTTGTAAGCAGGCATTTTTTTGCTACTTAGGTAGATATTGGGAGTACTGTTGGTTGCCAGGAAAGCATCTACTAATGGGGGGGAGGTTTTTATTCTCCAATACTTGTTTGTTAAAGTTTCGATTAATAACCCATATAGTTGCTGGATTAATTTAGATTCGTAAGACCTTAATTTAATTACAAATTTGGCAGATAACGAATCTCTTCGACTTTGCAAAGGAATTTCCTTAGTTTCAGCAAGCAAAACAGATGTTGGAGTGGATTTCATAGATCCAAGGCAAATCCTTAGGCATTTGTACTGTATGCGGTCGACACCTAGTAAATGACATTTGCTTGCAGCCCCGTAAAGCACGCAACCGTAATCCAATATAGATCGTACGTAGCTCCCGTAAAACATCAAGGCGACTTTGGGGTCTGCACCCCATCTTCTATTTGTAATACATTTGAGAAGATTGATACCTCCATCACATTTGCTTTTTACATACTGGACATGTTTTGACCACAGAAGTCGAGGATAATGCCAAGATATTTGTAATCTTTGACTACAGGAATTACATATCCTGATAGCATTATATTATTAGGCGTACGCAATCTGTGCCTAGTAAATATCATAATGGCCGATTTTTCAGGAGAGATGGTCAGTCCATGATTTATAGTCCATGTATCGGCAAGTCGCATGATGTGCTGCAGGGCCCCACACAATCATCATAAGTATTTTTTTGTATGTATATACAAATGTCGTCCGCATACTGCACACATTTTATAGAGTCGCTGAACAGATAATGTAAGTTTGCTGAAAATAAGTTGAATAGAATGGGGCTTAGAACCGATCCTTGTGGTAGGCCTATATGGGATATCCATTCTTGGAGAAGTTAGATTGTATGTCCGTTACAATTTGAGACACTGCATCGATAGTACCAAGACCAGAGCGGAATCCATATTGAGTGCTTGGAAGAAAATGGTTATATTCAATGAGCCAGTGGAGACGTTTTTTAATCAATCTTTCAAAAGTTTTAGTGATGCATGACATCAGTGATATGGGTCTATAGGAGGTGCCAACTGAGCCTCTTTGTTGGGTTTTAGTATGAGGCAAATCACAATTTCTTTTAATTGTTCTATATAGTACCCATTACAAAACCAGTCATTGAAAATTCTTAATAGAATATTTTTGGCGACATCCGGGAGGTGACCAATTAATTGAATCATGAATGTTTTAATGCGAGATGCCTGTCTATAATATTTTAAAAGAATACGAACTAGTTTACTACACTCTACTGCTGGATATTAGAGAGTTATTGCAACCTGTTTTTGGCTCATCCTGTAATTAAGGTTTCCCAAAAATACATGCGTAAATCTGATTTCATGAGATTTTGACCTATGACGTACTTGTCAAAAAAAGTTTAAAGCCAAAAGCCCGCCGTTTTTGTCAGGTTGCAAATTATTGAAGAAGTAGAGCTCGGACGATCGTTAATCACCAAATCGGGAGTAAGCGGGAGCTCTGTATACACGGGAGTTTATTTAACTTGATGCAATTATACTGAATCGACATTTCGTATTTATGTTACCCATTGTATTGCTAAATACTCTAGGCTGTACAGTCACTGGCAGAATGAATAGCTTTTGGATACCCCCAACTGCATCAGTGAAATAGGTCTACTACCACTAATTAGTTTAATATATTCGGAAGTCTACGGCGCTCTCAAGCGTCTACAGTTGTGATGAAATTTATCACTGATTGTACCAATATGTAGTGAAACCCAACATTTTCTTCTATTCGCACCAAACTGTTAAAGCTTATGTCAAATAGAAGTATCTATGTACGTGACGACGGATGAGGTATAAAACTAGAGTACACCCTTACACTGTATATCTTTATTTTTTGTGCTTGTAGAATGGCAATAAAAGAAAAGGTAACAGCTCACCTGTAACGTAATCAAACCGTTGCGGATTTGCGCTCACCATTTCATTCTTTTCAAATAACTCATTTTACACCCCATCCGTTTCCAATATATCAATGTTTTTTTTTAAATAATTAACAACCTAACATAACTCTTTGCTTACAGTTTTAAAATGTCTCCGGTTATCATCCGATCCAGTGACACTAAAAATAAAACGGGGTAAGGCCTTTTTCATTATATATTTTATGTCTTATCTAGTGGTAGTGGTAGAGCTAGCTCCCTTCTGTGTATGAGAGTATGTACACTTTATAGTAGACTCTAAAACAGCATGAAGGTAACTGAATTTAATTATTTCCGTAACGTGGGCTATAAATTAAACCGTGGTTATTTGAACGTAAAATCGATATGCACTTCCTTTTAGGCAACATAAGATTGTATCAATTCTTATTTGGTGGGTCGACTAAAATATCGCTTTGTTAGGTACGACGCCGCTAGTAAATAAGAAGGTAGGTATAGTGGAAGTGATATTTTAAGGAAAATCTATTTATTTATTATAAATGGAGACGTGCGAGTATACCTACGCATTTTCTTCTAAATGATATATCTTAATCAATACCTTTCATGGCACTAATAAGAGGTTTCAAAATAATCTGATAACTCAATATTGTATATCTGATGTCTGGAATAGCGTAGCGTGATTCATTCTGTCTCTTCTTTTGTACTATTTTTTTTCAGCGCACCTACTATTTATAAAATTTTAATTCTGTGCTATGGAATCTTTCACCACGATGCAAAGCTGTGTATATGGAAACAGCAAGATTAGCAGTTTTTCCTGTGTCTCAATATTGACTAATTTTTTCATCTATTAATGGGTGTGTTCAATAGTAGTTGTAATAGTTTAAAAATGCACAAACTTTCGAGAAGTATGCAGCAAGTTAAAAAGCGTAAGATTGACAGCTGTCAGTCATGTACATTTTTTTTGTAATAACTGCAAAACATACTGTCTGACCAGAATAATTATCCAACACTCGTTATTTCGTAAAGTTAGATCTGCCTAAGTGGGCTCCAAATGGTTACAGGGTGTTACATGACCGCATGTAAAAAAAAATTGGGTGATCGAGGGGATAAAGACAAGCACTTTTTCCAAATAAACCGAGGGTTCAACGTGTTTCGTTTGGGAGCCACCCCCAAAGAAGGCGATAAATAACATCCACCTGTCAAACCCTGCCACCCCCAAAGAAGTGGTGAAATTTGGATTTCTTGTTTAATTTTTTTCTCAGCAACCATAAGAGTTACAAAGATGGGTGGCACGTCTTTGAATAGGTTTTCGGGTATGCCTTATCAGATTTTGAACATTTTTTTCAAAATTCGTACCACGAAAGGGCGCACTCCTACTTGGGGGTGCGAAAAAAAATCTGATTTCGACGAAATTTGGTATCTTGGTGAGTTAAGGAACAACATTGTCGAACGGATTTTAAAAATAACTTTTCAAACAAAAGTTATGCTCATTTGAAGATTGGACCTTCGGGTTACAGTGTCCCCCGCCTACTAGTGAGTAATCTAATTTCGCATGTAGTTAATTGAAAATGTCGCATATAACAAAAAAATAACGTCATGGTTGGCTACTAACTATTACAGTATCGAAAAAAGCACGAAAAAATACAAAGAAAATTATTATAAAAGTAAATAACAGAACTAATAACAGCAACCGTCATATCAACTGTTTTCAATCTTATCAACCGTCACATTAAAAACTATCAAATTAAACAGTGATAGGTATAGGTTATTTGTGAATTCGATTAACAGTAAAGAACGTAGTGTGTATTAATGACCGGTCCGGCGCAGTTCAGTTGAAGTTGGACTGCGGTACTAAGGGTCCCCGGTTCGAATCCGGCTCCGGGCATGAATATTTGTAAATGTACAGTGGGTTGGGTTGGTAGAGTAGCCTTGGCTGAAACCCCGCCCACTCAAAAATAAAGCCAAAAAATAAAAATAAATGAAAAATAAACCCTTGCCGCTTAAAAATACACAATGTTTCAATAGATTTAAAGTGTATATACTGCAATTTTTGATCAAATCTGCAACATGTTCTGAAACGACATCTCTTATCACACAAGTGTTCACAGGATTTAAAATGTGCACAGTGTGATTATACAGGGCACTACTGTATCCGGCACGTAAGAAGGCGAAAGATCACGCATCCCCACTGTTAATATTTTATTAATTGCATCAATTAGAGCGCCACGGAGCCAGTTGGATCCTCCTGCAGACTCCAAATTAGTCATTGCCTGCCGTAGCCTTCTTACGCACCGCTACCAGTTCAAAGCAAAATTAAGTACTTAGCATAATATGTTAACTTACAATTCTTTCAAATATTTAAAATGTGCACAGTGAAATTGTATTATAGGGAAAAAAACAGGAGGCAGCAGGAAAGATACTTTACATTTAGAACGTAGATTTCTTCTGTGAAGGTGTACTTCGAAAGAACTTCCCGAAGTTCCCAGGGGAACTGCGAAAAACAGGAATGGAGTACGGAAAAAAATGGGATTTCGTCGTTTTTATGGGGTACGATGTATTATGTATTTCGTTAAATTACTGAGAGAACAATTGAACATATTTCATTTTTATGGTCATGTCAAGTCTTGGAGCAAAATTCTTAGAGATTTAAATTTTTGATGGATAACCTTGTACTGCCAATATGTGAAGGGAATTAAAGCGGTTTGTCACTGGAACATAATTTCTATATAATTTACCATTAAATTTCTATTTCAATGAACAATTACCTACTGTATAATAATCGTTGTTAAGGAGATTCATTCTATTCGCTCGTATGTGGGAGGAACAAAGCCGATGTTGCGCTCTACAAAGCCACGTTCAATTATAATTTGCCCTTTCAATCAGGCGACATAAAATTCGACACTTGTAAATTAGGTAGGTACGTTCATTTATGCATTATTCTTTATTTGCCGTAACATCAAAGTTACTAAAATGCATTTGGAATTTCATTGAGGATTTTACTTACACGTCACCTGCTCCCATCAGAAGTGGAGCTTTTGTGTAATCGTTTGAAGTAAAAAATGGCACGTTCGTGTTTGGAATTATTGTTCAGCATTACGAAAAATCTGCATACATTTACATAATTCAATTTAATTAATAAAGTTTTGTTCCGTTAGTATGGATATCTACAGATACCGTTGACGCTGTTATTAATTTTCATTTGTCCCTAAACAAATTTCACTAAACACACATCGTTTTATGATTTTATCCAATTATATCAACATATATAATTTATGTCATATTTCAAAGTAAGCACTTTGCGTGGTGAATGGGTTGTTCCAATGAGATTCTTTTTCGACGTATACTCGCAGACCTCTTTTTGAATTTTGATGTGGTATTGCAGTTATGTCGTAAATATTTTTGTGTTTATGTTACTACATCATCATTAAGTTAATAACATTTACATCTTTTACCTCTAAAACCCCGTAAGTATACTACTTGAGCTGAGAAATTCGTGTACCGGTGCTACATTAAATCGTGTAAATGTGTACGGCAGAGTGAAGGTAAGGGTGGATATTTTAGTGCCAATATCCGGTATTTCATGCATTAATTCAACAAAGGTTGATTTTGTATCGACTAATATGCAAAGTCTAAAAGTGAATTTTTCCTTCTGATTTCATACACTAAAATATATTAGGTTGAAAAGTCGAAATATTGTTGGCTAATACCTTATGCCGTTGAGTGAAGTTCACTCAACGCTTATGCTTAATTTATCTTCATCGAATAAACGATGAAAAACCTGAATACATAAGTTTAGGAGTCATTTTTGATTCGCTATTTTGTATGGAAGCTTACAGGAGAAGTTTGGAGACTTTTCAGATATTGTTTATTTACTCGTCATAAGAGTTGATGCCCATTTTTTGAGCTCATTATGAACTTGTGGTATACCAAACTATTTCATCAATTCATAAAACAACAAAAGTCATGGCTACTGCTACTAATAACAGAAATGTTGAAATTTATTTTTAAATTTGCGGGTATACCAAAAGCTTAATGAAACATGTAAAAACAGTTTTGCATGCACCTTTTAATTCTGAACAACTTTAAACTCGACAGTTTTTTCTGTAAAATGTACAGGAGGGCAGGATATTGCATAAAACTAATTTCGCATGTTAAATCCCTATGTTCCTACTTACCGTACACCACCCGGTATATTTATTTATTGTTTCTTTTATTTTTGCCTTTATTTTTGAGCGGCGGGGTTTCAGCCAAGGCGTTATACGGTTGTCATTTCCAATGGTTGCATGGATTGCGAAATCTGTGAATTTTTTTTTAAAATGCTATCTTGTCATAAGATTGTATGCCATTCTGTAGTCCAATTAAGAGCTACGTTGAAACCAATATATCCTCAAATTCAAAAATAAGTTCTTATGATAACTGAAAAAGTTCGCTCAAAAGTGCTTCCATTTTAAGAGTCGGTTACATATTTAGCAACCTTTTTGTCCCAATTTCAATAACGCAGTAGAGTAGAGTAGAGAAATCTCCATGATGGAGTGCGAAAAACGGGCACCCTGTATACGTGATAAATAATAATACCTGGCCCTGGCGCAGAAGCATTTTTTGTGGACAACAAAAAAAATTGGTGAGATATCAAAAAGTATGAAAGTGAAAATAAGCTCACAGTCATAACAAGGAAAAAATGCATACTAATGACGGGTGTCCGAAGCAATTTAAAACGATTAGATCAGTTTTTGTTGTATGTATTGGCAAGACATTCTCTCTCCAGTGGGTCGTATCAGTCATACAAGTGGAGGAAGTGAGATACCCGCTCACTATTTCTTATTCGTTTCACTGCGTTAGGGACTAGTGTGCAAAAATGTGTGATGTTTGGCAGAGAATATGTCTAGTGGAGCACGTGTTCCGCAATGGCAGAAAATTTAGGGAGGCCGTAGTGCAATTTCCCGATGCAGATATCGTCATGGTAATGCCGTTCGAAACTTGATAGTCAAGTTTTGTGATACAGGCAGTGTAGCAAACGCCACACGAGAAGGAAGATTTTCGATGTCTGAAGTTTTTGAGAGTTGGGGAATCACGGCAAGTCAGTAAGACGATTATCTGTACGTATCCGTTAATATTAATGAAATGCAACATACATCCAACATTTTGTTTTCAGTCAGGAACTTTTCGGACACCCGGACGCATGCAGGCGAAAATTGACCCCCCCCCCTCCCCACAATTATTTCGGAATGCGAACTCAGTTTAATAACGATTGAATGTGTGCAATAATGGTTTAGTGGCAAGGATACTCGACTTGCAACCGGGCGGCTCGGGTTCGATTCTTCGCATGAAAAGTTGCGTATCTCAATTCAGCGGAGTTGGACATTAGGTTATTTGTAGGTTTAAGATTGTCTTCTCAATCTTTTTTGAAATGCAAACGCATCTGCTATTTACGCATGTGCCACCCGGACTATTCAAGGAGAGGTTCTGACAATTATATTTACAGCTACGATATACGATAATGATCACATTTTAAAAAATCGGCGATTTTTGGCAAGTAAGAGACCTGTTAAGCAGGTAATTTAATTGAAAATTTGTAAACCCGTTTCGAAAATTTTCCTTCACTTTAAAAAGCTTTCCAAAATGTTCTTGCTATCCCTATAGGTTTAGAGGGTTGACTACTCAATTAATAAAATTCAAAACTTACTAACGTGCCCGTTCCTATAAATTTTTAATCGGGCGAGAACATATGTATAACGGACGATCAAAAATGAGTGGCTGTCGAGCCGCCTTTGGAAGTTCAATACGATTTACCGTGTAAACAAACATTCCAAAGGCACCTCATTTTGATCGCATATTAATAGTATCTAGTACATGCATATAAATCTGATATTTGCACTGTTTTTAGATATCAAGCGATTTCCGTGATGAAAAAAGTAACAGAATGGCTCACGTTGCGATCGACAATTGTAGACATTCCCATTTCAGAGAAATAAATATTTACCTACTAAACATTCCATTTTGAGTCCGACGGAGCAGGGTTTAAGTGTGATGTTCATAAAACTTTCGCATAAAAGTTTCCAAACTGTTTTAATTATTAATTTCTTATCGTGCTTTAACTTTTCTGCAGACGTTGCATGGAAGAATTTTTTTAATTAATTAAATTTATGCAAATAACACTTTTGTTCATAGACAATTCCGTTAAATCTTATATATTTGAATGTAGATTTGTAGATGACTACAGTCGCAACAAAGGAAGTTGCATGAAACCAATGCGTCGAAAAGTCGGATAAAATAAAGTTAATTATTGGTTCGATGTTCGAAGTTTTGACGTAATGTAATTTGTAGTTCAGAAAGTTTCATATTATCCTATCGCATCGCATCGTAACTTATTGTCGCCGTGGTGATAGAAACACTCAAACTAATCTCTATTTTTTTTCTTTCACCATTAGAATGCAATGATTCTCACGCCTTTGATGTCCTCCTTAAAATAGAAGAATTGGGGTCTATTTTGGTTCTCATTGACTAATCGTGATTTTGATGATTTTTGGAATCTTCAGAAATTAATAAATACGACGATACAAGACTGAAACAGAGGAAGTGAAACTATTCGAAGCATGTTTTAATACGAAACACATGGTGTTGGAAAGATGGCGACTTTTTGTTTTTACTATACTATTTGGTGGCACTCCCTAAACATGGATAATGAAAAAAAATTCAGCATCTGTCGCTTTCTATAATGATAAAAGATGGGTTAAATATTGAAATTTTTATTTTCTATTAAATATTAACACTGTAAATGTTTATGGTTTCGTATCGGTATGTGGTATAGGGGTACAAAGTTACGAGTTTCGTCCACGCAGAAAAGACAACGGTGTCGCATTAAGTTACGATTGTACCGTACACGACCGTGATCGATAGAGGAAGGAAAAGTCGCGGATACTGTCGTTACGGTGCTTAACTTAATAGTGCTCAATTGTTCTGTTAATTCCAATCTAAAATTCTCTCACATCTCCTTTGATATAATTGTAGCCATGGAGCTGTGTCCTTGCGTCATTGATTTGTGAATCAATTTCAGACAAGTTTTTGTTCGACGAACATGCGGCGTTGTGTCACTATTTCAGTTCTGTTGGGTGTTGTGTCGAGTACTGTGCTACTAGCTATGGATAATAAGAAGCAATAATGAGAATACACACATACGATTACATGTCCGCATGTGAATAGGACCCCTTTAGTCAATGGTTTTACATATGGCGTTATACGGTTGTTATTTCCAATGTCTTCGATGGCTGCAGGGATTGCGAAATCTGTGAATTTTTTGATATTTTGATAAATAAGGCCATATTGAATTATATCTTTATTTAAAATCTTAGAATAAATTTCTTATTATTCTCAATAATAATCTAGCAGTCATGCTGTCGTCCATCCGGTGATTTTTGCCGTAACTATGTGAGATATCGAAATGCGCTATTTACGTTTTATCCAATAGTCACGTACCTGTGTTGCCGTGTTGGTCAATTTTGTTGTTGTCGTTTCCTCCAAGAGGCACTGATAAAGTAGGTTGAAGGTTAGAATTTTCGCGGCTGTCAATTTTAGACGCCACATGTGCAAGTGCGATATTTCGTTTATTGTTTTTCCAACTATTAGTAAGGTTATAGTTTAAATTGTGTAGATATCTATTTGTTTTGCTATGCATGGTTATTCTATCTTTCTATCTGCGTTTTTTATATTAACTTAATTTTGTTTTATGATTTACGATTATTGTTTATCAGTCTGAATAATTATTGCTACGTTTAATAATGTTTGCTATTTTTATTTTATTTTTTATTTTTTTTTTTTCGCATTTAGCGTTTATTATTGTAGCTATGTACATTCTGTGTAATTTTTATACATTGTCTTAGAATTGGCGTGTTTTCCTGTTAGACAATAAATTCATTATTATTATTATAAGACCTTATGGATTCACAGGGGCGATAGTTTCAATGATAGTGTTTATTGTTGATTATTGAAGACTTCCATAAGCGATTGAAACTATGCTTGATCCATTTCGAGACAGACCGGAAATATCAAAATAATAAGTATGTAAAGATTGCTTACCTGGACAAATAAACAACTTATAAGCGTAGATATAAAACATTTTTCTGTATTTTCTTTAACGAAAAAATATAGGGTAATTTTGAAATTGACAAGAAAAAAATTGTACTTTTACAAGCTAGCTAGCCAACTAGATAAGACGTTAAAATCTTGTTTTCGTTGTTTCATTTGGTGGCCCTGGCTTCGATGTTATTGATTATGGTCATCTACGAAGGAAAAAGTTGTAGATAATTATGAGATTAACGGGACACATATGTTTTTTGAAGTTATGATTTGTGAAACAGCAACATATAAAAATATAAATAAATAAAAATATATGATTTAGGTAATAAGTGCTTAATCATACAGAATAACGTAAATTTTTTTATGCCATACTTTTTTCGAGACTTTTTTAGCAATGTGGGCCCTTGTAAGATTCACAAGAAATAATGTTTTATAATGTTTTTGTTTTTACCTTCTCAAAAATTCTAGCTTCATAAAAATATTTGGTTGCCCTCCTTTTAATGGCATAATTAACTACCTACAACTTTTTTGTTGATGTAGATTTTGTCTAAAGTCAATAATGACAGCCAAGGGCACCGAACGAAATAAAACACTTCTGTGGGATACATGAAATTGTTTGTTTTAGATCCAAAAGTGAAGACAATAATCAAAAAGCATCTGTTATCTCCCAGTGCAGACGTGGACCTTATGGACATTCGTAGCAAAGGCTCATTTACGAACGTATATAGAAATACAAGGCCCGAACCAGCCGTTCATCAACCTAACGTACGTGCCAATGGAACATGTTCAGCAGAGGAGGAAGCACTGCTAGCTGATCATTTTCAAGAGGATGAGAGGTTACAGTGGGAACCGCTCGCGAGTGAAATTTACAAACCTAAAGGTCCGCCAAAGTTTGAAGCATACATGATGACTGGGGAACATATCCTCAACATTTCCAGAACACAACAAATTAACCTTTTACCAAAGCAACAAAAGAAATTAGAGAATCTTAGGTGAGTTAGTGCCCTATATACGTACTTTTTTTGCTTATGGTTTCCTTGTTAGGTATCGTAACACACATTCGCATCATCATCGTTATCAGCATAACTCTGTACCCAACAGTCCAAACGAAATGGAAATGGGACTTCGAACACATAAATCAAATTCCAATTCGGCCAACACATCTCCTGTCAGTGCAAATAAAAGGGACGTAAATATAGTTGTTAGTGAATCGTCGAAACAATTAGGTTTTAATAGTAATTCATTTGTAAGAACAAGCCGATCGGAGGATCAACTACAAATGCAAAAGGACTCTAGTATTAGCACAGTAGATATTGATATAGAGGATGACGTTACTAGTTCATTAAATACGTTACTAGATACCCGACCAGAAGTTAGTTCCAATTCGTCTACCAAAAGTGATAGAATTGTATGGACGTACAATGCGCCTGTTACGACATCATTAGAACAGCATAAACAGTGTTGTCAAACTATGTCTAATGGAAGTACCTCGTCTCACAGCAATTCTTCGCCATCATCCCCGAGTCCGTTAAGGTCACGATCAGATTCGCCGGCATCACCCACATCTGTGTCTTCCTCAATTATGTCTAGCCATTCAGGTTCCTGTCGTATGCCATATACCATAACCAATAGTTTGCATTCCGATACCGGGCAACCACATCGAAACGGTGATTATAGCATATCTGAAGCAATTTCGAATATCTCAAGTCCAGATTATCATGACGATAATAGTATGGGAATTCGTGATTGTGTTATGGAAATTAGTGATCATAGTGATAGTGATAGTACACTTTTAGTGTCAGAACCTCGACAGAGGTACGGAACTAATGCCGAGTGTGACCATCGGATTGTGATTCAAGTGAAGGGACCGGACAAAGACTTAATGGGATTAAAAGATCGGGGCAAAGGTTACCGAGAAAATGAAAATCGACTGCGATCCAAATTCGAACTATTTGCCGAACAAGTAAGTGTAGTGTAAATTAGGGGAAGCTAATTATTTTACAACAGTCGCCTTTTTCATTACTTTGGATCCTAACATTTAGAGTCCCTATATGGCTAGAGTACTGCAATAGATTTTACCCCAACATGGTGACCGGTCGGTATACTATCGATATAGGGATTTTAGTCATATTGGAGGCTTTATATTACCCTAAGTGTTTAAAGAAATGGGGGCCACCATTACCCTGTAAATTTTTCGCATTTCAATTGACGACCTTATTTTTTAAGATACTTAAAATGGTTTTTTTACACTTGTGTTGGAGATAAAAAGTTTTGGTTAATTAAAAATAATTGAATTTTTACTCGTTAGGAAATGGGTAGTTCAAGGGACGATATGACCGAGGAGGGCACAACACTGAAAGAGTCGGGAAGATCTACATCCTCACCTCCATCGTCAGAAGATGATAGTGATATTGAAAGTTTACACAGTTTTCACTATTCACCTAAAGCTGTAGATTTACCGTCAGCCGAACGTCTTGCCAAACGACTATACTGTCTAGATGGATTCAAGAAATCTGATGTATCTAGACATCTTAGCAAAAAGTATGTTCGTGGCGGATTGTGAGCAATTGCTTACTTTATGATTTTTAGCAACGACTTCAGTAGAGCTGTGGCCGATGAGTATCTGAAATATTTTGGATTCAAACATGACTCATTAGATATTGCATTACGAAAATTTTTAAAGCAGTTTTCTCTGACTGGTGAAACACAGGAAAGGGAAAGGGTGTTAGTTCATTTTTCGAAACGATATTTAGACTGTAATCCAGGTTCCTTTAATTCACAAGGTAGGTAATAACCAAGGTTGGTATATTACAGGTTGCCTCGTAACTGCAATAATGGGGATCAAGTCGTCTGCTCGTGACGTCACTGGTAGCCACTCAAATTTCGTTACCTTGTCATTACTTGTCATGTGACATACGCGTAAGGTTATAAATATTGAACCTGTGCATTCAGAACCTAGAAATATTATTAAAAGGGTCGTGGAATTCTTTGACAAACAGAAAGCTGCCGTATGTGGGCATTTCCTTTGGAAAAGGCTACAGCGAGCTAGCTGCTGCTGTGACGGCAAATCAATAAAACTCATAACTAAATTAGGTAATGTTAATTTCAATTATTGATGGAACGTAGCAACATTGTTGATTGGCGGTCACGATATTTACGGAAAATGAAAGAAAATGATGCTTTAGGGAAAAGCGGGTCGGCAGAAGATGAACGTGTTTAAAACTGACCGAAGCAGGAGGATCATATGGTCTCGTTGATACCGCCTATCTCATCTACAAATCGAAGACTTAAGTGTAGAGACAATATAAACTGTGACTACGCAATTGATTGTTAGATGAAGCTGTTTATCTTTCACGGTAAACACTGGTACATCAGACGAAGATTGACTGTATTATATAACGATTTATAATTACTAAATTTTAAAATATAAAATGAATATTTGTGTTTCAGTAGTTAAACGATTCAAACATCATCAAAGAACTGTAAACAATAGCTACGCATCAAATTTTCCAGCTGTATGGCTGCATGCATTTATTATTTCGTTTAAATCGTGGGGTACCAGTGACGTATTCGCGCCTCGATTGCTATTGGTCGATAGTTACGAGGCAACCTGTAATATACCAACCTTGGGTAATGACGACATTACTTCGACATTTGATTAATTGCTTTTAGATGCCGTACATACTTTGACATGTGCGATTATGTTGTTAAACACAGACTTGCATGGACAGAACATTACTCGAAAAATGACCTGCAACGAATTTATCGAAAACTTGGCAGGATTGAATGAGTGTGAAAACTTTCCTCGAGAAATTCTTAAGCAATTGTTTCATGCCATTAAAAACTATCCTCTTGAATGGGCTCTGTAAGTGTATTTCTTAGTCAGTGTGCAATAATTTATTTCTATTAACCATTTTTCAATAGTGATGAAGAAGTGGATGATGGTACTGCTCAAAATGCTCCAAAAATTTATGATTCCAGTAATGTAAGCGGAAATCCATTTTTAGACATTCCAAATTCAGCAAATGCGGTGGAATATAAGAAGGGATATGTTATGCGTAAATGTTGCTACGATGCTAATGCTAAGCGAAGTGAGTATTTTACAGAAATATATTTTTTACACCATAAAAGTTCTCTGAAGTTTTCGCTAATTACTAACATCTTAAAAAATTATCCAGATCTTTGCCTTTTGCGACATCCTGTATATTCCAAAACAGCTGGAGTAATATATTTAGATTACAATCGACTCTACTAAAATGTTATCATTATTTTTTATTTATGATAAAAATAATTGAAAACGTTAGTATTTTTAAGGATTATTGTCAATGTATCCTTTAAAATTTTTTTCTAATGGGTATAATTGCGCCAAATGTTCAAATTCTGTTTCATCTGGTGCAATTTGCCATTCTATCAATTGATTCATTCCGAGGTTCATCTCATCCTAAAAAGAATGTAATTGATTTATTGATTATTTTGATTTGGTTTTATTTTTACATGGTATAAATTAGTTTCAATGCTTCCTCGTATTTTACAGCAAAGGTTTTGGTTGAATGTGCCTATATAATTTTTGCGACAATAAGTAAGTTTTTAATGTTTTACACTTACAGTATTGGTACTATTTTGTTTATTAGCCTTCTAATTTCACATGTGTGTTGTTGTTTTGCAATTATTAACCCCTGAACATATTAAATAGCTATTTCGAAGGCCTTTGCTGCATTTTTCTAGCTCCATTTCACAAACGCAGCTGGAAGATGTTCTACTGCACTCTGCGTGACCAAATCCTATATTTACATAAGGACGAAAATGGATTTAGAAAAAATCAAATGAGCGACAACTTGCACAACGCCATTCGAATCCACCATTCACTTGCCACAAAAGCTGCGGATTATACGAAGAAGCAATATGTATTTAGGTTACAAACTGCAGATCAAGCTGAATATCTGTTTCAAACAAGGTATGCACACATTTTTAGTACAATAAGGCTTTGATTGTCTGGATATTGTGGTAATATAATATGGACATACAGGGTGCCCATTATCGACTGTATACAAAATGTTTCTGTATGAAAGTTGTTTAACATTTTATTTCCCATAATAAGACAGCATTCCATTGTTGTTATTTCAGAAAACAAATGAATAACGAAAAACAATAATTGAATTTTTATAAATAACAATGCACTTTTTGATTATGCTCATGATAGAGATTTTTTTTCTCTTTTCAATGACCTAACACGTTAGCACCCGTGTAGAATAAATACATTTTTTTTCAAGTTTTTTGTAATAGGTTATGCCACTGGTTTGCAGTTAATGTTGAATATTTTGAACATTCAATGCGGTGAAAACTATTTTACTGCTAATTTCGTTTTGTCTTCAAGATTTAATAAGAAATGTACACGTTAATTTGTATTATTTTGATGTAGTATATCTGGATTCATATTATTGATCTAAATATAAAAAATACATTTTTTTGAATAAGGGTACTTCCATGTTATATCATCGAAAAGAGAAAAAAAATTGTAAAATTTATTGTAAAACAATTTTTCACATAGGTATTAATGGCGACGCATTTCTTAATTTGACAACAATCAAAAAACAAAAACATAATATATGGGCGGTCTGTCGTAGTTGGCGGGAACGCGGCCATTCCTTCTGCCACGAATTTGGCTCCCAGTGGAACAACAGCCCTCGAACAATGGAAGTGGTGTTACACACTGCCATTTACAAAAATTCAATTGTTTTTCGTTACTCATTTGTTTTTTGAAATAAAAACAACTGAATGCTACCTTATTATGGAAAATAAAATGTTATACAACTTTCATATAAGAAAATTTTGTATACATTCGATATTTACCGAGATATATACTATATTCCATACATAATGGGCACCCTGTATATTCAGTGTATTTTAGAGTAAAAACTATGCAAAAAGATTATGAGATGAAACCTGTTTTTCTTCATTCCTTGGGTGTAACTTAAAAAATCGCTGTAATGTTCTTTCTTCTTCAAATGGTGTCTTTGCAATCAGAGTGTTGGCATATTGGATTGTTTCTAAATAAATTCTCAAATATAAAAATTGACATATTGCCCTTCCATCCGTTTATGAGGTAAATGGTTGGTCACTGACCTTAATTTTGCATGCTAAGCTAATAAAATTTGATTCTTAAAAGCTAACTGATAATTATTATTAGCGCAAATTTGTCAATGATAGACGAAGAGAGTTTACCTAGTACCTAGTCCAGGCGTCAGAGGGTCTCTTTAACCAATAACAACTGCATCAAAACAACCATGAAACTTAAAACCGCACGTCTGCACTAATTCTTTGAAATTTTAATTAAAATAGCCACGTTATCTCTCCGTGGAGAAGTTCGTCTTTCATGGCGAACGGACGTGTTTTGAGCCAGCTCCGGCTGATTTTAGTGTCTTTTGTGACTGTATAGGTTTAAAAATGTTTGTCCTGTGTGGCCGGGAGCACACAAAAATTTGTAATTGTTTAGTGCTTATTTGATCGAAATCGGTTCAGTGGTTGAGATGTTACGAATTTTTAAAGTATTAAGTTTAATCTCAAGATGCATAACGCGCGGGACTAATTAAATCGTGAGAAGACAGGGCAGGAACCTCCAATCAACAGAACAAAAAGGGCGTAAAGTTAAGATAAGTGCTTGCTTGCTTGCTTACTTACTTACTTACTTACTTACTTACTTACTTAGAATTAAGGCTAAATTTAATTTAAAATTGAACAAAGGGGAAAAGATAGAATAGAGCGGCCCAAGTCACTGGGAGCTACATTGAATATACCTACTTCGAAGCGGGGTCGGGGTGGAACAAATTGACCCTTGGGAAAGGAAATATAATCTTGTCAACCGGAGACATATAAAGAAACTATAGTCATAAATTACCTACAATATTTAAACTCTCAAATTTCGGTTTAATAGGCATGATTGACAAAAAAGGAAACCTTTCTTACCAAATTGAATCGGCTTTTTTTTCCTGTTTTTTTACACTTTTTTACTCTCGTTAGTACCTTTAGTTTAGAGTCTCACAGAATAGAATATACGGGGTGGCCAAAGATAGACTGAAGGGACGCGTCTCAGTGACATAACAACTAACTTAACTAAATTATCTCTCCTAGATATCTCTTTTAGCGATTAACAAACAGCACCCACCACCCAAATCAGAATTAAGACCTTAATGACAAGTATCAGCGATCAAATAGAAGTGCGATCAAAAGAACACATCCTAGAATGCATCAGTATAAATAAGGACGGGGACTGCCTGTTTGGAACGATTGCGCACCAACGGAGAGGACTGCCATGGACATCAGAGCCTCTCAGGAAATTAAGCAAAGGATTAAAAAAGAAATCAACGCATACATCAGGGAAAACCTGGAAGATTTCTACCCATGGCCCAAATCAAGATGAAAATAGGAAGACTAACAATCACAGGATGCCACATCCTCTCGGGCAAAAGAGGACAGGCGGAACTCAGAAATCGAAGTGAAACAACAGAAAAAAGTGCGGAAAGAACCTAGGTATCATACTAGGCGGTTTCAGTACGCAAGGAGCACAGCGGGGAAACCGAAGGGTGGGATGTGAAACTTCTGTCAGGGGAGAAGAAAAGAAAGGAGTACCGAAAGGAGCAGTAAGAGATTAGAAGCAAAAAGGGGGAAGGGATACCATATCGGAAAAGATCGGCGAAACGCTCAAAGAAACAACAAAGAATACACTAGGGAAACAGAAACGCCCATGTGACCGAACAGAAAGCGGGCCAAAACCCACACTAACCTGAAACAAAGAAGGAGCTAAGGGAAGCCAAGGAAGAAGAAAACAGAGCCTATGAGCAACACGAAATCAAGGAATTTGCCGTGTTCGCGGAGAACATCGCCAAACTCAGACCAATGAAGAGGAATATGCAAATGTAATGGTTATAGGCACATCAAAAAATACAAAAGGAGGAAACAAGGGGGAACAGAAAATAATATACCAATGACAGCGTGGGCGATGCTGGAACTACCCAAATTCCTAATCAACAGAACCATAAACGCGTGGCAAAGGGAGTATAGGTACTAGTATACAATGGTTTTGGAAGAAACCCGAACACCAAAAGAAAACCAGGGGGATCAAACAAGGATGTCCGCTTCCCCAAGGCTCTTCGCGATAGCACTTGACCATGCTATAGAACCATTGAGTTAGAAAACTAATGGAGGGAATATAATGGTAGAGGGGGTAAGAATTTTTGTAGACGGAAGTTGCCACAGATAGAGGCCACTCGCGTGGATAGGTTCCCGTGAAGGTACATTTTGGCCAACATTATTTGACATATGAAAACGCGGGTCCTGTCACTGTCAGTTTTCCACCAAATTCAAATTTTATTAAATTTGCCATTTTAAAGTACCTAATTATTTCGGATCGGTTTGTGCTCTGGTTTATATAAATAACTAACTGCCGCATAGTGTTTTTATCACACGCAATTTTGTGAATTGAGAATGATTAGCTGCGTATCATGCAAAATTTCTCATAAAGGGAAGAAACAGGGCATTTCCTTTCATCGGTAACACATGTCATTTATCATGTTGTAGGCACCTAGTTTATGTTTCTTAGTTTTCCAAACGAACCAGTACTTCGAACAAAATGGTTACCTAACATTTGTAAATATATCTCAAGAACAGCTCTCGAAATTTACTTTTGTGCTCACAACGCTTCATTGACTGTGATTTGGATTTCGACCAAAGGTTGCACTGGAAAATGTTCATCAAATATCTCGTCAAATATGCAGTAGGTACTATCAAAACTTGTAATGAACCTGAGACCAACCAATCAATTGTAGCTATTGATCAACACAGTGAATTTAATGGGAGTTGTCAAGTTGTAGTGGCTATAGTAAACTGGCCTTAATTATACTAATGGAACACATCGATGTATATGTATATTTAGATTTGTAATCAATGATTATATTAAATCTGCATACTTTCCCATCCTTGTCTATTTTGTTTACTTTACCACGAGCATGTATTTTAGTCCTTCTATACGTTTTTTTTTGTTATTATTCCTATTAGTGGAAAGAAAATTATATCTCTACGCCACTGAAGTGAGACGCTAATGATAACGGAAGTGGTGTGGTACTTTAATCACAGTTAGAGGCCACTTTTGGTTCCCGTGGTCTACGTCTGGCCAAGCATTTGATTCCCTCCATTAGTTTTCTAACTCAATGTATAGAACAAACAAGGATGGTGGTGACGAACCTTGGCACAGGCGGCCAATTACTACTACCGACATTACTGGCGTACGCGGACGATCTATTTGTAATCCCGGATAATTTATAAGACACTAAGGACTTCGTCCAGGCCAGCTGGAAATGGTGGACCTACAAATACACAACGAAAAGAGCTACATGATGATAAGAGTGCCAAGAAACAACACAATCCCAGTACAAAGAAGGAGAGAAGACCATAATAACTGAGAAGGAGATAACCATGAAGCACAAGATCAAATATCTGGGAACCAACATAAACAGCACCCTCAGCAGGCACAACGCAGTGCAAGACGGAATAACCAACGCATTCAGAAGCACACACGGAATCTGGAACTTCTTACGAGAGAAGAAAATACCGGGCAGCTGGAAAATGATGATTTACAACACGAACATAGCACCGACAATGTTATACGGAATTAACACTTCAGCGCTAACAAGGAGCAACAGACGAACATTGAGGAGGGCGGAGTGGAAGGCACTCAGGATACTGAAGAAAACAGCAACCTCACAAGAAAGCAGAGAAGAGAACTACTAGAAAGAAAGACGATTACCAGGAGACTGAAGATGATTCAGATGAGATACTGGACATACCAACAAGAGGAACAAAGACCATATCATACGGGCTGCCAAGATTCTGTGTGCCTCGGAATGGAAGGTACGCCGACCCTGCCACACATGGAGCACCACCATAAACCAAACGGTAAGAGGTCTCGGGGATTACCATGGGAAGATGGGAAGAAAAGAGCAAAGACACACATCAAGGAAGAAAGAAAGCAGAAGAATACTGGAGGTGGAGGAAGAAGCCAAGGAGAGGAAGAAAAGGGGACAGAAAGTAACGCAGGGAGAGGACAACAATAAAAAGGGCCTAACACGAGGGAAAACCGGGAAGGGAACGAGACCAAAGGATAGGAACATCGGAAGCCAATGAACGCCCGGATAAGAAGCTATCACTAGAAAGCAGAGTTCCCTCTAAGGCAGAATACCAGTGGCGAAGCTGTGGCCGTACCCGTTCGGGTCGGATAACACCCAGTTAGCCGCCCCCCCACAACCCCCCCAATCCACAAAATCCACCACATTGTTTGGCATATGTCGCCGCCCAGCGCGATGGCAACAAAGTAGTGGAGAAACGTCCCTGATAGTGTCTACCAGGGACGCATCCTCACGACAGTTGACTAAATCCTGGGAGAGGCGGCGACGCCAGGCATATGTCAAAGTTTCAAGTTTCAATAGCCACGTTATCTCTCCGCCATTACAGTCTTCAGTACATCTTTCCTTTGAGCTCAACCCAATCACCACAGTGCACTTTACCTGCTGTTGGCCTATGTCTCTTTCAACCTGTTGATCCAATCCATCAAGCATATTTTTCCTTGATCTCGAGCTGCTCGAAGTTCAAGTTGTTCCTCAATATTTCATCTTGCCTTTCAGCCTTTCTTGCAATAAGCTCAGCCTTTTCGATTTCTGAAGCTAACCTCTTCTCAAGGTCAGCTATTCTTTGCATTTCTTTTCTTGCTAGCGCTAGCCTGTGAAGTCTCACTTCCAGAAATTGACTTGGAACTTGTTCTATTATACATACACGTACTGTATTGCTAACATCATCAGTCAGTCACAGTTTATAACCAATAATTACAATGAACATTAATCTGAAGGAATGCTCACCATTTCATAAATAATAGTTTTTTCACTAAATAACACCGGCAGAAAACAACTATAGTCACAAAAACAAGATTTGAGGGGGTATATGGAGAACTTTGCCTTAAACTCAAGCAATGTGAATAACAGGTTTCATTCCAAAAAGAAACCAAAACGCCAAAAAAATTGTGTAGAGTAATATATTAGAAAATTCAGTAATATTCAAAGGTACCTTATATTTATAAGGTGTATACCAGTTCTTTTAGTTTGGCAATTTGATGAAGCATAATTTTGTCACTCACGTTTCCAGACAATATCATGTAACACACAATTTTACCTGCTCGAATACATTACGTGCACACAGCCGTTCGTTACATAATATCATGTAGGCACCATTTTGAAGAATGTTTGTTACCTTTCTATTTGTGGTTTTAGTGATTCCAAAGAACTTCTGTCTTGGATAGATACAATAAATTTTGTATCTGCAAGTTTGTCTGCACAACCACTTGAAGCAGCTGTAGGTTCTCAGAAGAAATTTCAGAGGCCCCTTTTGCCATGCAGTCGTACAAAGCTAACGTTGGTAAGTGTAAACTTTTTTTTTACAATGACTCAACATCATCTTCCAATTTTTCTGGTTTTGTTATGCATGTAATGCAATCAAGAATAAAAATGAATTTTTTAAGCGGGAACAACTGCATGATCACGAGGAGAGAGTTATGAGACTAGAAAACGAATTAGACGAGCATCAAAAAAATCCACCGGAACGAGGATCTAAGTCATTAGTTGTACAAAATTATAAAGAAAAGGAACTTTATTTAAATTACGAGGTTTGCAACTACGAGTGGCCCCCTTTTTGTTTTAATTCGTTCTTTCCAGTTAAAAAGATACAAAACATACGCTTATATATTAAGGTCACGATTATCTCAATATCCTGATGTAGAAATTAGTTTAGCGGAAAACAGTATAGGAGAATTAGACGAAGCCAGCGGTGTGGCTCTTTTAGAAGGAAGTTCTAATGGTATTGTGCCTCCACCTATTCCGGAAAGGCAGTCTCCAGTTATAAATAGGTATTGTTATCAGGTTATTTTCTCTGGCACTGTGCTGAAAGGGGAGGCTGATATAGGCTGACCACTCTTAGGAGTGTCTTTTAATTATGTGCTTATACAGGCTGTTATCTATAATGTATACTGGCCGCATTTTTGGGATGTATTCTATTACATTTCAATGTGCGTTATTTTTCTTTGCTTTTCTTTAGAACGTTCATCTTGAAGCTTTCAACATGTTATTTGACATATGTAATATTGAAATTGACTTCTTTCACCAAGCTTTAGATATTTCATGGCAAAATACTGCGTTGCTTAGAGTTGATTTTAGGTTTCCATCTTGCAAAAAATTATGTTCAAAGAATTACTAAAGTACTGAAAGTAGTTATGAACTTTAGTTTCCCAATCACAATACCTGTTGATGTTTTGGTGGCTTAATTAATTACATGTATACATATATCATTATGCTTTTTATCAATTTTTATTTGAGTGTAGCTTTACTTTAAAACTATAAACGAGTTGCTTGGTGTAGTTACCTAGTGTGTACATGACTATCTACATAGATAACTACTACATGATTTCGCTTGCATTTCATTTCTTCGCAGTAATAAATTGGTTTCGCAAAAAGATCTCAAGTTAACTCTTATCTACAGAGACTCACCGGGTGCAGTGTCTCTATTGAACGAACAAGAAGAAATTAATAAATTGGCAGTTTACTGTAACTGTATTTGGTAGCAAGAATAAACAATGGGAGTACCCATTTGTTAGTTTTCAAAGGGCGTGTTGTTTCTCGTCACCAAATTCCAGTTAATATCATCTCTAATCATCATGTATAAGTAATCCATTCCACTGTTATTTTAAATCGCCATAGTTGTATTACACCTTTTAATTGTATTTGTAGAATGTCTACGGTCGCCGCAAAAAGGATGTAGATTCAAGTTTGGGGCACAATAAAATAATTGTTCAACACGTTTTAAGGGGCTCTAGGTGCTCTAGGTGAAACGACAATTTTGTAAAGTTGTTAGAACACTGGTTCTGAGTGTGAATTATAAAAAGTTTTGATTTTGGTTTTCCATGTTACAGGTAACCTGAGAATCTAATTTATGTTTGCATTTGAACTTTTCCTATATGCATTCGGAATTTTATTTCCAAAATTTCATTTTTGTTGATTTGTGAAATGTACCAATGTTTTAATATAGATGATTACTGTAATATATTATTGCCAGATTAATTAGGTAAATAACCATTGTTTGTTGACCGATTCATGGTTGCTACCTGTCAACACTGTTGCGAGTTTCATTTTAAGGAACTCAACCGTGAGGTTAAGTAAGGTTTTATTGACACCATAGGTAGTAAAATTTGGGTGATTTTCCTTTTTTTACAAGACTGTAAAGTAAGATGCAACATGGAAAACGAAAAAATGGCAGTTTATACTCTCAGAAATTGGTTTTCAAATATTTTCGTAAAAATTGTTCTTAAACATCATAGATAAACAAAATTTTATTTTATTCCAAGTTCATTTAAATTTGACAAATGCTTGAAGTATTTTTTTATGAAGTCTCGAGTCTACAGACTTCTGCGCTGACAGTAGTTACATAGTGAAGACTTTAGATTCACAAAGTTGTGGTCATTGATACTGGGTAATGAAAACGGAAATGATCAGTTACTAAATTGCTAGGAGAGGATGCTGGCAAAGTCCTTGAAATTGTCGTGAATGTTATTTTTATATGTTAACACTGACGGTACAATCTTGATAATCCAGCAGTGAGCAACATGAGCACACAAGAAGAAATTAATCAGCGATATGTAAACACAAAAACAATTGATGAGTACTCTTCCTAGTATGTAAAGCTACATATTTGTATATAATTTGTCTTTCTTTGTATGTACGGTCATTGACAAAGTAATGATTGCCTAATAGCATGCCTAACATATCGGGCTCCGTCAGTTTCTTCAAGGAGCAGATGCCCTACTTTGTTGGTTTGCATTTCCAAATTGCACAATATATTTAAAAGTTGGTTGCGTATGCTGCAGGATTTACCTATTCGACGTTTCACAAAAAAGCAGCACAGGGTCACAAAATCCGCAGGTTTATATCTACAAAAACAGACACACTGGTAGTCTCTTTTACAGTGTCAAAAATTCACTATGCACTGTAGTTTTTAGGAATTTTAAAATACAATATTCCATTGTCAAATTTGTCACGTGAATTACTTGTTGTGTCTTTTGAGTAATCTTTTGTAAATCTTTCCCTAACGCACTCACTCCACACGACACTAGAAAAATTTTTGACGTCAGAACTCTAGTTAGATTCATTTTTTGTAAAAATCGTTTCTTAGATACTGCTGGCATCCTCTCCAAGTTGACCAATTCTGTATAGTGACCACAATATAATCATTGCTGACCATTGTTGCCTTATAGACTATAAACAAGTGTGTAAATTATAGAATACCAAGATTATGTTATAAGCAACTCACTTTCATGCGTAATTGTATAATTTTATTTGATACTGTTGTAGATTTCCAGTGGAGTACTATATATTATGGTTTTTATTTTGATTTAATTAAGAAGAGATAGAACTTCACAATTAAGCTGAACGAGGAAAAGAAATTTGGTTCCTTACATAAACTGTACTAGTTACTTAATAAATCATTTTCAATTGATTCAAGATGGATGTGAAAGTTGTTAGTATTTATTGGTAACAGCCTGCAAAGTCCTTAATGCCAAATATGTATGTTGGTAGTGATTTTTTAGTGCATTTATTTATTTATTTAATTTTTGGTTTGCATTAATTTAACGATATATTTAAGCATGTTTGTTTTCGTGGTAATGGGAATAATAATTTGAAAATCTGGCTTTATATCTCTTAGTATTTTTCTTGGTACTTACCATGTAGCTATTATATTGAATGGAGCGTCGATCTCAACCATATAACGTGCACTTTCTGTGTATTTAGATATATGGACATAGAAAAGCCTTCAAGGTGAACCCCTCAATAGAAAACATCACTAGACGTCAGTCAATTTTTAGCGTAAATATTCAATTTTCCAAATTGACTGCTGACTTATTAATTTATTAACAGAGTAGATACTGTTTTAAGACTTGAGTTTATTACGGATATGGCAATTTAGTTTACAATTTTTAACTTTTTCAAAGTGTCTACTCTGATATTGTACTGATTGTAGTAATTATTTAGCAAAAATGATTTAGGTTTGGCTTTTTAAAATTAAATCAGCAAATGTAACTTTAGTAGTATACCATTGGCCAAATTTTAAATATAAAGTCGGCACAGTTTACAAATATAATACATTAGACTTATCTATCTAGTGTAGGGGCTGTGAGAATACATTATGAAGGAAACATTTAGGGAAGACAAAAAATTTATTTAGAAAGTAACTTATAAGTTACAACATGTTATATGTACTACTATAATATTATAAAGCTTTGTGTTATTAAACATTCCCATTTTATGGATTTGTGGTTTAATATCGATGCAGTAAAATAAATTATTTGAAACTTTACTACTTTTTTCAACTTTCGCTACTGTTTTCTAGGTGTAGAATTATCATTCTAATTCGGTACGCTCCTATAACAGAAAATATTACACCATATACAAAGGTTTGTGCACCCATTGTCTCGCTATCATTTATTAAACTGCTTCCCAACATTTGTACAATTTCCATAATAATTTAACCACCATACTCAAATTTTCGCTTTCTTTATTGTATAAACTTACGTGTATTTTTTAATTTGATTTGCATGGGTTTAGATACTTTGCATGATTCAAGGTGCTGCTGTATGCATGCTACTACCAGTGGAAATTCCCTCGATCGGAATGCTTACATTTATTTGCCCGCTACCAATTAAATAAGCTTTAGCAACAGCGCTGCTACACAGAACAGGCATGTTTGATTTTGTTTTTAAAGTCGTTTTTATTTATCGACATTTGGGTGATTACCATTATTCTAATCTCATTTTGTTGCATGTACTTAGGCATCCGACTGAAAAACGTGTACCTACATCGTAGCATGGAAAGTGGGAATTCAGCCTGCCAATTGGTAGCTAAAGTATTATTTTTATTTTTTTTGTGCAATACTTGAATATAGTTAATGAGGTTTGTCAGAAAATGAAATAATATCAAAAATAGTTCCATTAGACAAAATGGAATGTATTGAAATATTCAACAATTATGTAAAACATGGAAACTCCGTTAATTCTTCATCGTATATTTGTTACAAAGCAAGAATTGTGTGAATTTTTCGATACATGAACGAACCTCTTGAATGATTTGCAGCACTTATTTATTTTTATAGAGCGATACTTGTATTTTTTTATAACAAACTTGATTTTTAAATTATGTACATAACATTTTATGTAATTTGTATTTCTTGTAAAGTTTCATTTTCATTTTAATATCTATAATATTGTATATCTATATTGTTTATGTTTGTACATGTATAGTTTTACCAATGGCATGTTTATAGTAATATTGGTAACGAAAATGGCTGAGATTAAACATATGTCATTTTTTATTAATTATTTTCTACTCCTTTCATTTGCATGAACAAATGATTCTGATAGGGAAAGGATATGTTGTGATTCAATGTGCATCAATCTTATTCATAATCTATGCATTTTATGTGTTCATTGTTTTTGTTTGCCACTAATTTAGTGCAATAGTGCATATGTTATCATCATATCTGCACATACTATACTGGAACATAAAATTAACATTGAAGGTGTCGAATTCCTCCATGTTGCTTATCTCCTGATATAACTGCATAGACATGCAGAGTAAAAGGTCGTCCCTGACTTCTTTGCCTTTGGTTTTTTTTTTACAGAGCATTCAAATTACCAACTTGTGCAGCCGTACTCAGTATCATACAAAGAAAATAGATAACAACACAATAAGAAAGAGTATCAAAGTTTTCTTTTTTACCATCTTGCATTATCATTAATCAATTTGCACGTTTTTGCAATTGTTGCATGTTGACCATTTGTACTGATATATTTAACCATAATAAACAGATTATACTACTTTTTTGTTGCAGTTGGTATGCGGAAGTCGGCTTAAATGTCATTCTTATTTATTACCTTTAGAATTGCATATCCAATTTGAGCTGTGAACCAACTAACAATGTGGTGTTAAAGCGAGTCAAAATAGACAAGGTCCAAAATGTTTCCCAAAGTTTGACAATTTGGTTTTCATTTTTCACCTTTTTTTCTCAGCAACATAACATATACCAACAAGGATGGAATTAACGGATTTACCTAGGTTGTTGTGTATGTATGATTTTATAGCCTGATCCCCTTTAATAGGGACTGCAATATTTGCGATCAAAGAATTTCTAATTATTCCAATATGCAAAACATGTCATAAAAAAAATATTTCCTGTGGACATATAAAAATGTGTAGGACACATTAGGAGCAGTGCACTGCTAGAGACACGTTCTACTACTAGATCAAGCTCAAGCTTTCATCCTAACTGTGATGGTTCTTCAATTAAATAAACAAGAAACACAAGCTTTGATTCTTTTGAAACAATACATTTTTGACGTTTGGTTTAGTTGGACACATGTTAGCATGTTACTAATAAGATATGTTCATAGTAATTGCTACGTCGGTAACCGGTGACACAGACAACAGTTATCTGTGCCGGTGATGAAGGCTCCTTTTGTTTTTCATACCTTTTTAATTTAAGAATTAACGCACTACTACAAATGTCATTCATATTTTCATTCTACATAACCAGATCTGGGTAGCCAATGGTAGAATTGTGAAATGATAATATAGGGTAAGTGTTGAGTGCATATTAAATATATTAGAAAATACTGCAACAATGTTTGATCAGAAGTACCCTTAGACCACTGTTAATGTCACATTAAAACAACTGAGCATAATCATTGGAAGTCCATGGTAAAATGTGCTTGACCTTCAGAAACAAGTTCATATTCTAATATAAAGTGAAATACCAATCTTAATTATCCCTTAGAAGATTATATGTGGCGTAAAAATCCATTGGAATGATATAGGTGTCGTTGAGGCAAAGTGGGCCACATTTGAACCTGCCTCCATTCCACACTTACTACTTTTCAAAAAATTGATTTGTGGATTTTAGTTTAATTTTAGTATTTTCAAGTATTTTAGTAAATAATCAGGTGAGTATATGTGATTCTCATAAGCTGGAGAACATTGGTTCAGTGTGTTCCAGGAAGCATACTACTTCAGGTTCCTTGTGTCCCTTTCTCTACATCACCTTCACTTCCCGTACTCATATGGTCAGTCGAAATGTTGATCATATCCTCTTTGTCTTCTTTAAGCATTTCTCACCATTCTATTACTATTCCACGCAGATGAAAATTATGAAATTTCAAGGTCAATGCGGTTTAAGAAAAATTACCTACCTACCATTGAATTTATAAATTCAATGCTACCTACTAGCACAGATATACGTCTGTGCTACTATTATAGTACATATAATGATAACTACTCAAATGTTAACAAATTCGCGGCACACATGTGGACACAATGCATAATGTGGTAGGAATGGGGAAATTTTTTTGCATATTTTTATTTTAAAAGGGCGAACACCCGACCTTGCCGCCCCCTGGCTATGGGCGTGATCACGTTATGCCTACTGCAAAGAGTGTTACTCTTTGCTTACTGTTTGAAACAATCATGTCCCTTTCTCTTTTGTGGATGGGCTTCCTAGTTACCCAGTCCATGACAAAAATGCTTGCTAAAACCAGGTTTCCATTCAAAAAATAATTATCAAACATCTACTGAAATGCACCAAGCGACCTTTAGGGACGTCTTCTTTCAAGTCCTTTTTACGTTTCTGTCACCGATTGCAACCAAATCTTGTACACATATTGTTGGACATAAAAGGGCAGAATCACACATGCGCAGGTGTGAGGGTGGTATCTGTACTAGACATAGCAAATTTTCTTTTAAAGTATACATAGCCCATATCATATGTACACATTTAAAAAAAGTGGTTTTATTCACAGCTGTCTTCCTTCATGAAGTTTTGAACTCGATAGCTTTAAAATGCGCTCTGCCTTGCAGTGACAACATTTAGCTGGGAAACGTGTTTTTCGAAGAGATAAATGTAGGTGCTTGTGAGACCTGGCCTCAAGGTGGATTCATAAATCCACCTTACCTGGCCTGTTTTGTTTATGTATGAGGCACACACTTTCACATTGAATGCCGTTTTTTCATATACGATCATGTGTTACACAAATGATTAAGCATCCTGTACAATTTGTTAACGGAAATCCCTAAAATGTGACTATTGGCAACAATAGGCTGTCAAATGTCAGAAAAACAGAAATAAGAGATAACCTTCCTTGTGCGTTTATTTTGATTTATTAATTAATATATTGAAATTAATTATTAATAAGAACTAAAACTCTAAGCAACAATGCCGCGAATAATGATAAAAGGTGGCGTTTGGCGAAACACGGAGGTAAATAACATGTACCAGATTGCGGGTTACTTTTACTCTCCCATACAATTTCAGGATGAAATCCTCAAAGCGGCGGTAATGAAATATGGCAAAAACCAATGGTCACGTATAGCTTCTTTACTTCATCGTAAATCTGCTAAGCAATGCAAGGCACGTTGGTTCGAATGGCTCGATCCCAGTATAAAGAAAACCGAATGGTCACGAGAGGAAGATGAGAAACTTTTGCATTTAGCAAAACTCATGCCCACTCAGTGGCGTACCATCGCACCTATTATTGGACGTACTGCTGCGCAATGTTTGGAACGATATGAGTATTTACTGTAAGTGTGATCATTTGTACCGTATCGAGGAAACTAGTCTCCTATTTCTTGCTTCTGCTAATACCTTTCAGCTATTGATTTTGTCTATCAAGTCTTTGTACTTTCTCACATAATAAAGATTATTATTATTCATATTGTTATAGTGATCAAGCACAGAAGAAAGAAGAAGGTGAGGATGCAACAGATGATCCCAGAAAGCTTAAACCTGGTGAGATTGATCCTAATCCAGAAACAAAACCTGCACGACCCGATCCAAAGGATATGGATGAAGATGGTACAAACCTATTTCTTATGTACACTTGTCTGTAATGGTCTGTTTTAGAATTGGAGATGCTATCCGAAGCTAGAGCTAGATTAGCCAATACACAAGGTAAAAAAGCCAAGCGCAAGGCGCGAGAAAAACAATTAGAAGAAGCTAGAAGATTAGCAGCTTTACAGAAACGAAGAGAACTACGCGCTGCGGGAATTGAGGTGAACCCCCGTCGTAAGAAAAAAAGGGGGGTGGATTATAATTCGGAAATACCATTTGAGAAAAGACCAGCGCCTGGCTTTTATGACACATCCACTGAAATAGTCGATCCAATGGCACCAGATTTTACAAAAATGCGCCAACAGCAATTAGATGGAGAATTACGTAGCGAGAAAGAAGAGGTGGGAATTTGTCAATTAATTATTATCTTACTATCATCTTTTTTTTATAGAAAGAAAGACGTAAAGATAAGCAGAAGTTGAAACAACGAAAAGAGAACGATATCCCTTTGGCAATGTTACAAAATCAAGAGCCAGCAAAGAAAAGGTCCAAGTTGGTATTACCTGATCCACAAATATCCGACCAGGAGCTTCAGCAGGTTGTAAAGTTAGGGAAGGCCAGCGAGGTCGCTCGTGAGGTAGCATTAGAGAGTGGAATCGAAACAACAGACACTCTCTTGTCGGATTATTCGGTTACACCACAAGCTGCAGCAACACCACGGACTCCTGCACCTCAAACAGACCGAATACTTCAAGAAGCGCAGAATGTTATGGCTTTGACACATGTCGATACTCCGTTGAAGGGTGGTGTAAATACACCTTTACATGATACCGATTTTAGTGGGGCACTTCCACAAACGATGGCTGTCGCAACACCCAATACAGTTCTTGCTACACCTTTTCGATCTGCCAGAAGTGATGGGGGAGCAACACCTGGTAGCGGATTTGCAACTCCTAAAGGTGGAGCTCTTACTACAGTCGAGCAGGTATGTCCTCATTTTCTTTATGTCACATTGGCTGGGAGTGGTCTTTTGCGCCAATTCTAATATTCTTTGGTTTCTCGGATTTGTTTAATATTCTTTAAGCTTATGCAATGGCAATCTTTTGATATTCGCTGTTTTTTCACTTTTGGACACTACACAAAAAGGTCAAAAGATTAAAAAAGAGAAAATACCACTCAAAATAGCAATTTTATATTAAAAATCACCTTTTAATCAAGGGGTAGTTCCTGTTGTTTCATGCATGACATCCCTTTGTGTATACAGTGTCCCCCCAATTCTTCGGTCATCTCTTTTAAATGCCAAAAAAAAATTTCGAATTTGGAAATTTGGAAAGTAATTTGTGATGTCATTTTAGGTTTAAAAGGATGCCCTTGAAATTTTCAAAAAACGTTTTTTCATACCAGTAAGGTACTCGTTGAAGACAAGATACACACAAATGTTATTAAGTTATTAAGAAAAGAATTCAGTAAATGTGCAAAATTTCAAAGCCGTAGGCCTACTTTGATTTTTGATGTGATTTATTTTTAACTGGATTTTTTGAGGAAATCCGAAAAATGTTACTTTAAAAAATTGTTCAAAATAGAATGTAATGACCGTGTAGCAAATTTGAAGCAGGTAGTAACATTTTTTCGGATTTCCTAAAAAAATCCAGTTCAAAAATGTAAACTAAAAAAAGTTGGCTTAGGCACTGATGACCTTTTGTATGAAAATGAAAGTAGTATAACGGGCGATCAAAAATGAGTTGCCGTCACGGCGCTTTTGGAATTTCGAGTTAAGTACGATTTCCCATGTAAACAAAAATTCCAAAGGTGACTCGAGAGCAACTTATTTTTGATCGCATAGTACTTTGATAATCTTTTGTACTTACCCATATTGAAACAGAAGAACAAAACTTACTTTTTTTTTGTAATCCACAGCCAGCAATGGGGAGTTACACTCCTACTCCTATTCGAGACAAACTGAACATCAATCCTGAGCACAGTTTAGAAACTGGTGATACGCCCGCTGCTCACAACAGTTATCAAAAATCTTTAAAAGAGCAATTAAAGGCAGGCCTTAGCAGTTTACCCACACCAAAGAATGACTACGAAATCGTAGTTCCCGAACAAGAAGAAGATCAGCAAACAAGTGAACACAACCAATCGGTTGAAGATCAAGCGGATGTTGATGCAAGAGTTTTGGAAATGCAAAGAATTCAAGCTCAAAAGGAGTTGGCTTTAAGATCTCATGTAATTCAGAGAAATTTTCCTAGACCGCAAGATGTAAATATGTCTGTACTACGCCTTCCTCATGAGTGTTATTCTTTAACTGATTTACAAAAAGCCGAAGAATTAATTAAACGGGAGATGGTCACAATGCTCCACTATGACAATGTGAAAGATCCAGTTGCGGTACCTACCCAAGGGAAACGCCAAACTCTCTCCCAAGCGCAACAATTGGCCTACTTAGAGCAGCATCCGTACGATAACTTTAATGGTGAGGAAGTGGAGTACGCCAGGAGCTTGCTTGGTAGGGAAATGGAAGTAGTGCGACGCGGAATGAATCACGGAGACCTGTCTCTTGATGCTTACACTCAAGTGTGGGAAGAATGTTTAGCTCAAGTCTTATTTTTACCAAACCAGAACCGGTACACAAGAGCCAATTTAGCGAGCAAAAAAGATCGATTGGAGTCTGCCGAAAAACGGTTAGAACAAAATCGAACTCACATGTCTCGTGAAGCGAAACGAGCCGCTAAAATGGAGAAGAAATTAAAAATCCTAACTGGCGGATATCAGTCCAGGGCACAGGCCCTCATCAAACAATTGCATGATATGTATGATCAAATAGATCAAGCAAATTTGGAACTCAGCACTTTCAATTTTTTGGCTGAACAAGAGAAGGCGGCACTGCCACGTCGAGTACAGGTAATACTATCAATTGTGCAAGTAGTAGGAAAATTATGCATTTTCTTCTTATTCTTTCAGTCATTAACGGAAGATGTTAATCGCCAAGTGGAAAGAGAGAAAGTACTACAGACGAAATATGGACAGTTACAAGAAGAAGTTTATAAACATAAGCAATAATAATTGTAGTTGTAATGAGTTAATTAATTAATAAATTATAATTGTATTGTGGTTTGGTGTTTTGTTGAGCGTTGCAATTCCACATTTACCAACTCTTTGTATCGGAATTAATGAGATTAAAAACCTGCGTCCATCATTGCGCAAGCGCCTCCAGATGTAATCTTGGTGCTCAGGCAATAATATTGGATTTCTCTACCTTGATATATAATGTACTATTATTGGACGACCGAAGAAGTTAAATTGATGTTAGTGATGTCCGGATCCTCATGCCATATATCGTCACAATCCATGCTTTTTAATTTAATTAATATAATGTTCATTTTATTTTATTTTCTCACTTTTAATGTTTTGTGTTAAGGTAAAGAATTTCCAATGAAATCAAAATATTCAGATTAAAGTCGGTTTTCAATTTTTTGCGTTGTACATAGCAGCCGTATTTGCAATTTTCTCAATAGTCCAAGATCCCACATAGGGTAAACTTTCGCCCACCTGTTTACCAATTGAAATACATTGTTTTAGCAATCTTCATATCTAAACAAACACATTGCAAATGGGTTGCCTTAAAAAATTAAGTCAAGAGAAAAATGTGTATTGTTCCGTATGACAGAGTAGGACGCAGTGTAACAGCTGCTCGTGGTGTAGGCATCGAATGTAAGAGAGTGCGCACGCACTTTATCCATGTAATAGAAGCAGACAGAAATATTAGTTAAATTAATTTTAATTAAGGCTAGTTTTGACTTAAGTTTTTATTAGCAGAATATTACCCCCGAGATAGATACCTAGCCCCTCGTTCGAGCATACAATTGATTGTCAAGATCAGTCCTGGTATTAAGGATCGTAATTCATTTGGTTAAAGTTTTTGCCACACTATAAAAGAATATTTCTCTGCTATCAGCTCGGAATATTATGAACTTCCTTGTGTTTAAAGGCTATTTGAACACTAATTCTACCATAGTTTTTATTTTTAGTTGGAAATGAGAGTATCACTATCTATCCCACTAGTCACACCACAGACAAACTGTAGAATGTCAGATCCTTTGAGAATTACAAATCTCGCGAAATAAAATTTTATTTTTTCAACAGTGGCGTTTCCCACACGTAATAAGTAGCGTAGATAAAAAATTGGTGTAGGCGTAGAGAGGGTCTGATAACTGCCAGTTGTGAAACTAATTTTTGGTGACTTTTGTAAAACTGTCCACAGTACAAAGGAGATTCAGCACTATAAATTAATTAAATGTAATTACTCAAATCATTAGCGTTACATTTTCATAAATAATAAATAAAATAATAAAAATTAAATCTTCACCAATACAAATTACTCATCTTAAGATTTCTAAAGCCATGTAAAAGATATCACAATTTTCAGACTTAACTCTCTTAGAGGACTAACTCATGCATAGCACCCCAGGATTTGCCAGACTTCAATTTCACTGGTAACGGAATAGATAAAGCTACAACCTCCTCCATAGCTTGCTTTAGAATTTTTGCAGTCTTCAGTAAATATTTTTCATGAACTTCGTACAATAATTCGTCATGTAAATGCAACACAAGTTTGGGTAAATTTTTGGAATGGCGATATTTATGTTGAAAGCGACTTTCTGTATTGGTCATAGCAAGTTTGGCTATATCAGCAGCTGATCCCTGAATTGTGGTGTTTACAGCTTGTCTCTCGGATTGAGCTGTGCGAGTAGAATTAGAAAATATTATTGAAATTTTCAGTCTTACCTTGAACAGTTAAGTTGTCACTATTAATTAGCGGCAAGTACCTCCTCCTGCCCGCGTATGTTTCTATGTAACCCAGCGCCTTACACTTTGCAATTGTGGAATGGATAAATGTTTGTATATTAGGATATTGTTTTTTGAAGGTTTCGTGAAACATTTTCGCTTCATCTTCAGGGATTGACATGTGCTCTGCTAACGCCTTATTTCCCATGCCGTATATTATACCATAGCACAACTGTTTCGTCCACTGACGTAGATCATCGTCGACCTGTTAGCATGTACATGTAAAATAAGAAAACGTTGCCACTTCTCACCTCCGTTTCGCTGATGTTCTTCCAATGTGCAGCAATCATTTTAAAAACATCTTTGTTCATCTTCATTATTTCAGTCAGTGTAGGATCCTGGCAAAAGTGGGTTAGTATTCGCAGCTCTAATTGGCAATAATCGGCCGATAAAAATGTGTAATTTTCTGTAGGTATGAAAACAGATCGACAACTAATACTTAAGTTTGTAGAGGCAACACTAAAGTCCCGAGGAACATTTTGCAAGTTGGGTTCGTGCATAGTAATTCGTCCTGTGGACGTGTGAATAACGCAATTGCCAAATATTCTACTATTTTCTATTAAACGGATTAGGGGATAAATCATTCTTGTTAGAGTACTGTTTAATTTCCGCCATTGCAAAACAAGGTTTGAAATGGGATGAACGTTCCGTTGCAATGATTGTTTGTCGGTGCTGGGTTTACGACCCTTATATGAACCCACTATTTTTGCAACTTCAGTTGGAGAGGAGAATGAGAATCGTCTTCCTACGTGTGTAAATGCTTGTTTTTGCAGTTCTTCACTTTCCTTTTTCAGCGTATCAACTAGAGCCTGTAGTTTGGCGATATCGACTTTTATACCGTTCAGTTCCATTTTTGTTATACATAGAAGACTCTTCATTTCAATCTCTAAAAGCATAGAGGTAGGTTAAGGTAGTGGGTAGATGTTGGTATTGTACTGTATATTTCAATCAGTTTGGGGCATTCATTCACAAGGGTGCTTCGAACTGCATCCCGTAAATACCAAACCACCACACTTTCAACTGTTGCTCTAACTTTAGGATGAGCAGTACTTTGAACATCCAGGCCTACACTGCACACTCCTTTACAATGACCAATGAGAGCCAATAGATTCGATGCTCCAGGAATATACTTAAGCACCTAAAATGAAGAATTCCAAATTTACTTAATTAGGTACAGGACAAGTGTCTTTCCATTGCTAGCATTAGGATCTTGGAAAGAAGCGAAAGAGAAAGGCGAATTAACTGAGAAAGAATTGCAGTTTACAAAACTCAATGGTTCCTAAATAGATACCTACTTAACAAAAACTGTTTTATACATCTTTGGTTTGGTGTTTAGGGCTCTGTTAACAGTGAGTTTAGAAATTATGTGGAAAGTTAAATTTTATCAGGTGTTAATTGAAAATTTGTTAACTAATTCTTTGGAATAATGGAGGCAGTTAAAGCTGCCGATTTTCTCATATTAATAAAATTTACGTCAATATTCAGATAACATTTTTATTTGGCGGCCAACGTGGGGCGCATAGCATCTTTATTTTGCACCCAATGTGAGGCACATAGGAATATGATATTGTTTTTAACGTAGTATGACCGCCAAATTGAATCTTAAGATTTTTGAATAGAGAATTTCTTTCTGATTGAAATAATAAACCTTGCATAAATTATTAATTTATACAAATCTTGTATTAAAAAGTTTTAAATATTACAACAATACAAAATCGGTTGCATTGTATAATTACCTGAGCTATCTAAATTCAAATTTAAAAAAAACCATTAAATTGAACTGCAATTCTTACTCTTACACATTGTAAGTGTCTTTACCTGCCAGTTTCACTATACTGAGTGTGGGAAAAACTTCACTGATGTATTTTTTTCACAGATTTGAGTAATAAGGGTAAACGAAAAAAATGAATGTTATAAAAAAAGGCGTTCCCTTGCTTTTGCGCATTTGGACGTTGTTATTAAGTTGTTTCATACAAATTTTACCACAGATACAATACAGCGTCTCGGAGGCTAGATTAATGACCTTCACCAGAAAAGAACGCAAAGTGCGAGATGGATGACAAGTCTAACTTCACCACAATGTTGTTAGGTGTCTTACCATTGCTTGCAAATTTTTCTCCTTCCCATCAGGTGCTAACAACCAATCGGCAACTTTAGAATCCTCCCAGCTTCCGTCAAAATTTAAGCCAAAGCATTGTTTCGCCACCTTTATCTGAGCTTTGGCATCGAAAAATCTCACATTCAATGAACTTTTTGTAAACAACTTCCGTAACAGTCTTACTTTATCTATATTCGCAATAACAGTCTCACTCTCAAACGAGAGATAAAATGCTACATTGTTGCCCCAACTAAATGCAACACCCACAGCATCAATATCGTTATGTGTATACTTAACTAGGCGACTTTTATCATTGGATGTTTGGTGGATTACGTTATTACCGATTGGAGTTTTCTGAGTAATGTGTTTTCTACATGCAAAAGATAGCGCTATAACTTCTTGCGACAGTAACTCACTTTCGAAAGTTTCATACAAAGCTTTATTATTGCCAACATCGACAATTTGCACATTTGTTAAATCGGCTGGTACTAGAGAATCAGTACTATTCCATTTTTCTTGCGTTATCTTTCTCTTTTTTGTAGGAGACGTAATAATTTCTGAACTGTCATCATCAGAGCTCAAATATTGATTAGTTCGATTACTGCGTTTTATATCTACAAGTAAGCTGAATCGTTTAAGCGAATTTTTTGTGTCATTTGTAGAGATAAGCGAATCAGAGATTGACTGTGAAGAATCGATTAAATCACACTCTTTCTCAGAGTTGGTGATCTTATCCGATGGCTCCATTTCAGACATAAAACCATTGACCAATGCTGTGTCGTTCTCAAAATGAAATGAAGAGATGTCTTTGGTATTTGGTTTAGCGACTTGAGTGTCTAATGTGCTTGGGTATTCGCAACTTTCGTTAAACAAACTTTGATCAGATTTCTCTAGCATTGACTGATTGGGCAATTCACTGTTACTATCTGAATTTTCACCATTACTTGTTGTCAATTGTAAAACTTGTTCTTTGACAAGATCTGGAAGTTGAAGATTGTCATTGTTTCGGTGATGAATTGAGGATGTCATATTTTGGCGCTTGGTATCGATGGTTGTATTTTGATCAGTTAATGACTGCTCCCATTTTGCATCGACCAATCCTAATTCTAACTTCAGATACCTGAAATTAAAATATGTTGAAAATAATAATAAGCGCCAAATTTTGAAGTTATTCTGTGGCGTGGTGGTGTTGTAGGTTCAAATAAGCTTACAAATGTAGAAATAAAATACCTTCCCCCCTCCCCCCACTCTAAAAGTGGTAGTTTTTTTCGTAAGATCAACCGCTGCGGAATTATCTTGAAAAAAAAAACGATTTTTTCAATCAAGATGGCAACGCGAGCGAACATGGTTTTTGTTTCATTGTATTATTTTGTGGAACAAGAAACATGGTTGTTGTTGTTGACTGCATCTACGGGAATTAAATGTTATAATTTGTGTGTTCTGTTTTACTTAACCTGGGGGACAGTGACACAAAATAATACATGGTGTCAGGTAGTAAATAGTGGAACACAAATTAAGTAGTTAAATGTGTGCACCTAGTAAAGAGCACGTGGCAGTTTTGTAAAATTACAGGAAGCGGCACTGTCAATAAAATAGACGGCTTATTTAAACCGCCGGATCCCCTCGTTTTCGACGGCAATATTTCAGAAAATTGGTATAAGCACCTCCTAAAGTTCTTAATGAAATAGTCCAACGTAGACTATCACGTGCTGCTCCTATACGATGGACACATGACTGAACGCATTGGCAGTCTTATTCATAGAAAATAAGTCTGGTCTATCCCATCTATCTATGAATTCCACCCTAAATTTAAAAATTACCACGTTTTCAACTAAATTAAATATAAGGATTTTTTATATTCTTAATTAATCAAACGCCTGGTTGATCGATCAAAAGTGAAATCTAACGCAAAATAGCTTAGATCCTGCACAGCTACACTACAGTAGAAAGTTTGATTTGAGGTCTTTAGCTATTGCAGTTGCTGAGACCTCAGCCGGACATCCCGCCATCCAGACAGCCAGTTATAACGAATATAATATAGGTAAAATAACAAGTTTTCCGTTGCACGTCATTAATGGAATAATTTCACGTACCAACCTAAATATTTAAATGGGATGTGTTGTTATAAGTTAAAAACAGTTTATTTGTAAGTATACGGTTGGTACAGAAATGCGACGTTGGCGCGACTCTGTACTATGCATTTAAGGCACAGAATAAGACCTTCACAGAACAGAAACATAAATAGCGCTAAACTGTCACTGATTACAGCGTTTCCCGTGGTTGTACGGAGAACTATTTATCGCAGACTCAAATATTTTTTTGCAAAACCTGTAATTTTGCTCGTTACAGGAAATATTTTTGCCGTCGATTTTATACGTACATGTCATTTTTGACTTTTGAAAGATTTAAAATATGAACAAGTTATGTGACCGTAAAAAGTGTTGTGTGGCGGATTGTAACGATAAAATATCAAAAAGGCATCGTTTCCCATATTTTGAAACAGATTGTTTTGTGCTTGAAACGCGAAGAGGATTGAAATGTGCTGTCATTTCTCTCCTATTTATGCAAGGTATGGAATTTATAAATTACCAACGGTATAGGCGCAAAAGGGTGTAGACTTGAGTTTTATATTTATATAGACGTAGATACTTAGGTATATTATAATTCGTTTCAGACAATGAATAAAATAGTATATTAAGATACAAGTGTATAATCAAGTCTTTAAAGCACGCGCAACGAGTTTAAGGGCACGACGCAAAGCGGAGTGCCTTTAACGTTGCAAGTGCTTTAAAGACTAATTATACACGTGTATCTTATAGTATTTTTTATTATACCTGCAGTATAATTTAAAAATAGGAAATACAATGAAGTCATATTGACGTTATACTCGAATACATGTCTTAATTAAGTGGGCTGGGTTTTCGTAATTTCACGATTGCCATGGAAATGTCACTTGACGTTTGCTTATAAAAATCATCGTCTTTGTGAATTAAACTATTTCCGTTGAAAAAGATAATACACCGCCCATTAAATCGATTGTTGTAAAATCTAAACAAACGTTGGTAGGTGTAAAATCCAACTCCAGTAAAGCCTATTATAAAGTGGATGAATAGGAAGTTACTTACGAATACAGTCTTAAATGCATCCATAATGCTGGCATATATGAAAGAAATGTCAAAGGTATTTAAATCTTCTATATTTTGGTGCATTCATTCAAAACTTTAAAGAAATGCTGCGATTAAAAAGTGGAACTGATTTGGAAGCATGCCCTAAATTACGCGCGTTTGTGAAAGCTTCAACCAAAGGATAGATACAAAAGCCAAAGAAATGTTCTGCATTTACAGAAAGCGACCTAAGAGGAGTTTTTATTTCATCTAGATGACAGTTTCAAAAGTCATACTTGAAGTATCGTTACTTAGCAACTTTAAAGCACGTGTGTTTTAAAGGCCCTTTTTCGCACGCATTTGAGTGTTTAAAACAGAGATTGTGATTCAGGTATAATAAAAAATATGTTTTAGATAATTCAACAACTTCCACCCTCGCTTCTCAAGTAACAAGTAAGCACCAGAATCAAGTTAACATTTTGTTGTCAAAAACTTGTGTGACAATTTGCTGAAACGGTTTTATTACCTCTTGGAACAAAAAATTTAGTTCTAACGATATTTTTTAACAAAAATATGTAGTCCAAACAGCAATTAAAACCAAATATTTCGTACGACAAATCGTTATGTAAGGATCTTTCTTCAAAGTGTTAACATCTACAAACCGTAAGTTCCACTCACTTCTGAGTTTTATATGTAATTTGTAAACATGTAATTTAAGTTCTCTGTGTTAAATAATGTAATGTGATTGTATTTAAATACACTTCAATTTAACAACTGTGTATTCTTTATCGATATTTATGATTTATATCGAATTTGGGAAATTACTTCATGACTTTAGGAGCTGGTCACCAGATGGCGCTACTCTGACTTCGATGCTTTAGTTCACAGTACACCCACCAGGCTCCGCCAAAATACCATACAAATTTGTAACATTGCTGTTTCTATTCTGAGAAGGCCGTATTCTGTGATTTAAGGTTATGTTGCTATCTGTCACCTTGCGTCTGCTTCGAATCGTCTAGTTTATCGGATTTTCGTGCCTTTTTATCAAGCTTCTCAATTCCACAAACCAAACTGTTCTTTTGAGAACAACTTTTTGTCGTACTGTGAAGCGTTATTTATTACAATGACGAAGAATTTAGGTAGCACTGCTAAAAAAATGGTAGCATCCTTAATTCTGTATTTTGAACAAGAGCGTGGCCATGGAGGCCCCTTGTTACCTTTGCAGGCAGTAAGAAAGGTAACACAAGCATAATTTTTACATTAGATACCTATTCTACTAAGTAATTATCGTAGAGAGTGGCACAAGCTTTAAGTATCAGTATCTCCACGGTCAGTACCATATCAGCGGCAGTGAAGAAGAATGAAGTATTGATGTCGCCTTCAAGAAATCGTCCTCGCCTTAAGCCTGTCACAGATGTATCTAATTTGAACGTTGATGGTATTAGAAACACAATTTATGAAGTGTACGAAAACAGTAAGTTGATCACATTTTGTTTCACAGTTTGTGTAATCAGAGTTGCAGAAGTGCATGTTACATTGGCATCTGTGCATGAACAGCTTCATGAAAAAGTCATTTTTCATGGTTCATTGGCATCATTGCGAACAGTGCTAAAAGAAATTGGATTTAAATGGAAAAAAGACGAACCCAGGCGAAGTCTAATGGAACTACCCCATGTGGCAAGTAAAAGAATTCGTTTTCTGCGCCAATACAAAGATTTCAAGGAAAAAGATTTGTACCAATTTGCTTTTCTTGATGAAACGTGGACATTCCAAAATGGCACTATACAACGCTCATGGCAAGATAGTAATGGAAGAAGTGTGAAAACTATCAAAACTGATGGAAAGCGGTTGGTTTATTATTAATAGGGTAACAATAATTATAGCAAAAAATATGTTACAGACAAATAATTCTGCATGCTGGAAATGAGAAAGGATTCATACCTGGTGCAAATTTAATATTTGCATCAAAAACTTCAAGTGGTGATTATCACGGAGAAATGAACCAGACGAATTTCTTACATTGATGGTTTCAAAATCAATTGCTTCCAAATTTAAGTGAACCGTCTGTTAATATTATCGATAATGTGCCATATCACAATATGGAAGTTAACAAAGCACCTAATGCTTCATGGAAAAAAGGTGATATTCAAAGCTGGCTAACTAATGAAGGAATTATATATTCTGAGCAGATGCTTAAAAGTGAACTTCTGTTAAAGGTGTCACAGTAAGTACCCATACCTGTTTTATATATATAAGAATTTTTATTTCCAGAAATAAACCAGAAAAAACATATTTTGTTGACCAATTAGCGGAACAATATGGTCATAAAGTGTTGCGCCTTCCACCCTACCATTGTATTTTTAACCCCATAGAGTTAATATGGGGTATAAAAAAAAATTATGATAATAAACATATTGGTAGAGATGGGAGAAGAGAGGCTGATTGTTTAAATATGTGGCAAGAAGCAGTTAATGTCGTGATATGTGGAAAAATTCAATAAAACACACTGAAGGTGAAATAATGAAATGGTATGAAAGAGAAAAAATGTTAGATATGCAAGATATACTGCCAATTATAATAAATTTAGGGGAAGATAGTGAGAGTGACACAGAAGATTCTTGTTAATTTGCAAATTAAGTAATTTGTACTTATTTACATTGTAAGATTATAAAATAATTACATAAAAGTGACTTATTACTGCAAAATACTATCCCCTGGCTTTGATGGTCAAGTATGACATGTAAATTGTGAAGCCTTTAAACCAGTAGAAAGGTTAATTAATGAATTTATCGAAATTGCTGTCGGTTCTTAACTTTCCAGTATGTAACTTTAAAGTGTTAATCCTTACATACAGCTCCAACATTAAAAAGTCGATCGCCTGTAAGCAATTGATAATCGACATTCCTGTACACGTAGATATCTTGTGCTTCATGACAACTGAATATAGAGTTAAGATTGGTAACCCATATAGGTTGTCTGGTGGGTTTATTTTTGTATAATTTTCTTGTGTTAATGTTTATTTGATTCAAGTTTTGAAGATTGTAAGGATATATTAATTATGAGTAGGTACTGACTACTGAGTGGGGTACTATAAAAAACGTGTGGTTTTATGGCTGCAATTTAAAAGTAATTTCATGCACGTAAAAGCGATTCTAAAATTATTGTTGATACTACATGCTTAGTAGGTCAAATGTGCAAGCAGATATCTTGTGCTTCATGACAACTGAATATAGAGTTAAGATTGGTAACCCATATAGGTTGTCTGGTGGGTTTATTTTTGTATAATTTTCTTGTGTTAATGTTTATTTGATTCAAGTTTTGAAGATTGTAAGGATATATTAATTATGAGTAGGTACTGACTACTGAGTGGGGTACTATAAAAAACGTGTGGTTTTATGGCTGCAATTTAAAAGTAATTTCATGCACGTAAAAGCGATTCTAAAATTATTGTTGATACTACATGCTTAGTAGGTCAAATGTGCAAGCAGACAATGATTTGTAAATAGTTCTATAAGTATACTAAATGTTTGTCAACGCTGCATAAGAACGACGTCAGAAAATTAATGACGTGCAACGGAAAACTTATTATTTTACCTATAGCATAATTTTTTTTTCAAAAATGCGGTAAAAACACAAATTTGTTCATGGGTTAAATCCATGAAAGTCGACCTCTTCAGGAATGTAAAAATGACTTCAAATGCAAATTCCTTATGCAAAATCCCCAAAAACGGCCGACTCCTATTTTTTTACAATACAAAAATTGAAAGGAACTTACTTTTATCGACGCGTTGAAATTTTCTCCAATTGTCAGTTGGATTTCGCCTTTGGAAGGTAGCAGCAATTTAGAAAATTGGATAGTGGAATGGAATTCTCATATTACCAGATTAATCAGGTTACTTGTTGAAAATTGATTTCGAAAGATGGTTGACGCAATTTGATTCAGGCATAAACCGTGCTCCAGGCTTACGTTGAATTAGGTGAACTTTAAATTATACACAATAATATTACCGATGTTCCCCAATGTATCCAAATATGCACCGAAACAAGATTAATAAAGTAACACATTTGAAAATTACAATAATCGTCAGATCGTCTCTTTCACGCAATAAATTTTTCGTTCTCCATAAACTAGCCACGTATTATTAATTTACTTCTGCTGGCAGCTCGTAGTAGAATTGCGACACTGTCTCTGTTGAAACTTTGAATTAATAATATATATATAATATTAATAATAAATTAATAATGTGCTATTAAACCTGCCGCTTTCCTACCAGATTTTTACTTAAGTATGCGTGGAATGAAAGTTCTGAAACGGAACCACCGCAACCAAGGCGTTCATGCGGTGTTTTATGCATAGGTTAGCCTCTTTCATGTTTTGGCGCGACGGTTTCTAAAGCCGGCAACACTGTAACGTTTCGACTCGTATCTACTTAAACACATGTTTCTTATCTTAAAGGCTTGAATAGACAAGTTCTCTAACGTAGGTTGCCGTCTGAGTACTGAGTCGAGCTATAAAAACCACTCTAAAAGGCGGAAATAGACCGGCAGGTTTTCTCACGCAACTTGCTGTCTGATAGCTCTGTCGAGTGACAATGGCACTCACGCTCGAACATTCAGAACCGATCTGAATTTGTGAGAAAACCTCCCTGGAGATCTCATATACGAGTACTCCACTAAACAAGTTTTACTGTCGCAAGTTGACTTACTGCTTACAGTGGTTTTTATAGCTGGACAGTGCTGTCAGATAGCAACTTGCGTGAGAAAACTTGCCAGTCTATTCGTGCCTTAAGACGCTTTCTAAGTCGAATATAAATGATCTGTTCTCTTTCGTTATGAATTACATGTATAAAATTTCCTACTTGTATATTTGACAAGAAACATTAAAGCCTAAACTCTTAAAGGGCCACCTGTTACAATCTCCCTACCAGATGTGTCTTAACATTTACCGGATACATGCCATAGCTTTTTAAAAATAGGTCCGCATATTTACAAAATACTTTCAAAAAACCGTGATATGTCTCTACAATTAATTTAATAATCTGAATCCAGTGAGATTTTCCCTTTTGTAATGAAACAAATCCCCCTGGAGCACAATTCGTTGCAAGATGATAATTATATAACAGTAAATGTGTTGCAAATTGGTTATCTTCTACTTTTACTTATGTCAGTGGAGAGCTTCCAACAACCAATGCTTCAACAAACTTCTAATGGCAACATTATTGTAAAATACCTGCTAAATGATAGACTATCCAACGCAAACTTGGTCTAGATACCCGGAAAGAATAAAATGATCTTAGTAGAAGAAATCCAATACAAGCATTGCTTACCAAAATAAGTTACTGTTGCCTTCTTTAAGAAAATTTTCCCGCGCAAAAGATATAGGGAGTCACAATAATTCCAATCTCCGAACCAATGAATGTAGCGAATTGTTAAGAAATTCCATATCAAACCGAGATCGATCAAGGTGAAATGAAAATGATGAAAATTATGATTGACGTGAACATCTATAGATGGTGTTGAATGTAACCTGAACGTTTAGTGTTACATCCTTTTCTAATGTATGATACATGAAGGTCAATCTGAATCATAATTTGTGTCAGTGTTGAAATCATTTCAACCTCAGTTTAACTCAGTTATTCATGGTCTGGTAAGTTTACTAACTTAAGGATCATGTTAAACCTGTGATGGAAAACTGCTCTATTGCGTCCGTCAGTTTAGGATACCATGGCTGCTTAATATGAAGTGAAAGCCATATTTCATATTCTTGATTCAATGAAATGCACCTTGAAAAAATTCCAGTAAGAAGACGTCGAAGTAGATCAATACACACACCTTTTTCTACCATTAAAGTAGTGCAAATATACTGAATACATAAAATCGGTACTCACCTCCTAGCCTCTTCAATAAACATAATGGACGCATCTCTAGCAGTGAGACCATCTTTCCCCATGACCCATACACATTTCATTTTATTTCTCTTGATAATATCATACTCTGTTTCCCCATCGCGTGCATTTTTACTTTCAAACGGGCCAGTCTTGTGCAGCAAATTTTCAATAACGGGAGCATCCGAGGACGCAAGTTGAGCAAGTGTCTCAATCCCGGCATCGTATAACATTCGAGCGCGAGGACCGGTAATAATCGGTAATCTCATCAAATCCAATAAATCTCTGCTAACACCAAATTGCAAACGATCTTGAAATTGAGCTATTAGGACCTCCATGCTCGACCAGCCCAACTGACGACTAAAGGTGGTCAACATTCCCGCAAATGACGAAGCTGACTGCTGCAACGACTGCAACATTCCCCTCGAACAACCAAATTTGACTGCAACATCTGCAATCGGAGTTTCGTTTACTAGATCTTGTAGTGCAAGTGCAGTAAAAAATCGTTTATGTACAAGTAATTTTCGATACAACTTTGGTGTATTTGTCGATATTTTTTGTCTAGTTGCACTGATAATGTAGGATTCCCTTACTCCTACCAGCTCGCCAACTCGCTTCATGCTCACCGGCAGCTTCTCCCATAAATCAAGGAACAGCATCCAGTCCATCGATGCCCACTGGTTACAAGTGTTGTATGGTGTTACTACGTAAATTAAATGAAGTTCTGTTTCGAGAACAAAACATTGTCTGGCTTTCTCAAGTTCTAAAAAGATTGAAAGACCGTCTTCGGGAGACATTGAAGATGCGAGGCATGCCTTTCCTAAGGCGGTAGGAATATACTTTGAAGTTCCATCATCCAATTGTTGCAACCTAAAATCATTTACCATTAATTATTAACGAGCTCCTAGCGAGTTTATAATTTTGTTGTGTCTGTCCGTCCGTTAGCACGATAACTCATAAACGAATGGACCGATTACGATGAAATTTTGCAGGTGGATTCTTTATCAAATTTGTAGATCGAAGTTCGTGAATTGGCAATGTAGCCCAAAAAATAAAGTAGGCCCTTTTGACATCTCCGTTAGTTATGAACCGAATTGCATGAAATTGAATATGCGCATAGCTTTAGCCATATAAAACACAATTCCAAAAGTTGAACCTAATCGATCAGCATTCACAGTGCCCTTTGCGCATCTCGACCATTTACAGACCGAATTGCAAACTTTCTTATTTATGAAGGTATTTAAATGAAATTTGATACATAGCCACTTGGAATAAAAGAAAATTTAACATCAGTTTCAAAATTTGGTTTTGCGCATGCGCAGCTTATTTATGGAGGCATTCAAATGAAATTTCATACAACAATAATAATAATATATATTAATTCCCAAGACAAATTTTGAATTGTATAGGATACGTCAGACACAAAAAAATACAATTAAATACAATTTAAAAAATGTTGGTCATACACAATACAATGGACAAAAAAGAAAGAATGCAATATAAATTACACTAGAGATCCGCAATTTTTATCAATAGAATTTAGAAATTCATCAATTGTATATGGTGCATTGACTAGAAGAAATTTTTTTAAAGAAGTTTTAAAGCACTTTATTGTTCCCTGACTTCTAAGTGTACTTGGAAGAGCATTAAATAATTTAATGCCCATTGACGTAGGAGAATTATGGGCAAGTTTAAGCCTTGTTAAAGGGATGATAAATTGTTGTTTATTGCGTGTGTTGTAATTATGAAAACTGCTATGGCGTAAGAAATTTTGCTGATTATAGAAAATAAAAGTTAACAATTCAAGTATATAGAGTGGTGAAAGTGTAAGAATATTCAATTTTTTAAATATTGGGCGACACGGATCAAATTTCTTACTACCCGCAATACACCGGACTATTCGTTTTTGTACCAGACCGCGCTTGACGAGCCCCAAACAATTATTCCATACGACAATCTGGATTGAATTTGAGCATAGTAATAATTTAAAATATGGTTCACATCCATTAATTCTTTAAGATTCCGTATCTGGTAGCAATAAGTGTTTAGTCTTTTAATAAGATTTTTCGCAGTGACATTTCCAATTTAAGTTTTGATCTAAATAGATCCCCAGAAACTTCCCAGTGCCCAGAATATTAATGTTTTTGTTGCTTGAGTCAGACAAATGGTTTCCAAAAGTTGTAAACGGTAGGAAAAATGTTTTATCGTGATTTAAGAATAATTTGTTAAAATTAAACCAATTACTTAGCTTATTCAGAATCTCAACAGCTTTTGGATATATATTTTCTTGCTTCTTTCCGGATATTAATGCCGTCGTATTATCCGCATATAAAACCAAGCAATTTAAGAACATGACAATATCATTAATAAATAATAAAAATAAAATAGGTCCTAAAACAGATCCTTGTGGAACCCCCATATTAACAGGCAAAGCTGTGAATAAAAATTTTGCAATAGTGGAACCGGTTTTAAATTTAATTTCTACTTGTTGACACCTTCCAGAGATATGATGAAAACCAATTGGCAACAACGCCTCTGATACCGTAAGTATTTAATTTTTCCAACAGTAACAAGTGATCAACAGTATCGAAAGCCCTGCTGAGGTCACAAAATATAGCAAGGACATTCTGTTTTTTATCAAGAAGTGAAATGATGTCGTTAACAAAGGAATTAATGGCAGTAATTGTCGATTTCCCATTGCAGAACCCGTGCTGTTTATTACTCACAATGTTATATTTAACAAGGTGACTATTTAGCCTCTCTAACATGGCGTATTCAAAAACTTTTGACAGCGCCGAGCTAACAGAAATTGGTCTGTAATTCGAGCAATCTCGAGAGCAACCTTTTTTGTGAACGGGATGTACGGTTGACAGCTTAAGTTCTTTCGGGAAGACACCGTTTGAAAAAGACATATTGACTAAATGTGTGACAGGTTTTATTATAATATGCAAACTTGACCTAAGCAAAGAATTAGGTATCATCGGGGCCCGAGGAATGTTTATTTTTTATGCTTTTTTTAAAACAATTTAATAATTCCGTTTCACTAAAAGGCAGTGCACACATACTTTCGCGAATAGTCATATTAGACTCAAAGTTGCTAGTCGAATAAATGTTTCTTTTTATAGAGCGTTGAATATTTTGAGGGCCATTAATAAAAATCTCATTAAAAGTATTTGCAATTGTTTGAGAATCGTCAATGATTGTTTCTGAATTTTTAAGAGTGATATTTTTGTGCGACTTTTCATTATTGTTAAGTATAGATATAAGGCTCCATACTGTTTTATTTTTATTGTCGGAGGATTTGATTAAGTTACCATAAAACGATTTCTTACAATTCATAATGTATTGCAGGTATTTACATTTGTGTGTTAAATAAAGTTTTTTAAGCGCGGGATACATTTTTTGGAGGTATTAAAAGTTGTTAAGATCTTGGCTAAGCTTTTTAACGGTGCTGTTTATCCATCCTTTTTTCACATATGAGGTATTACGTTTTAAAATTTTGGTCTCTCGGAACGATGAATTGAAATGAGAGACAAAAGTATTGTAAAGTACAGTAAACGCATCATCGAATAATACATATACACTTTAAATAAAAGCAAAACTAACATCAGGTTTAAAATTTGGTTTTGCACATGCTATAGCCATACCCAGGAGCTCGTTTGCTGTATTTGTTTAATTTATTGATCAATTAATTGCATAAGTGTAAGCAAAGAATGAAGTACTCTTTGGTTTAAGCACAGAAAATCTGTATGCGAGTCTGTATGTCTCCTTTGGACTATGTGTGTGTAAGGATGCAATTTTGTACATTTCTATCTACCTATTGTAATAATAATAATAAATCCATAAACATGTATGCTATACCAATTCTGACATACTCATTCGGAGTTATCAAATGGTCATACACAGATTTAGAAGAACTCAACAGAATGACAAGGATAAAACTGACAGAACATAAAAAACTACATCCAAACGCATGTGCAGAAAGACAGACGATGAGTAGGAAGGAAGGTGGGAGAGGACACATAGACATTGCTGCAGAACATCATACACAGATACTCAACTTAAGGAGATACTTTAATGACAAGACAAAAACTACCTATACCTAATTATGAAAATTTTTTTCTAAACACTTACCTGTGACACTCTGTATGAAACACTGTATTACAGTCACAGTGTATGTGACTCTCATTGTTAAATAAATGTTCTGTAGGTAGACAAAAGTTACTTCATTGACATCTACTTACCTTATGAACTCGTTGCTGCACAAAAATTCAATTGCTTCATTGACAGGATTTCCCAGTGCGTTTTCGGAATCGTCTTCACTTGCAGCGAACAATGTGCACTTTGAGAAATGTTGCACATCATCGGGCGATGAAACCACACCACTACTAACAACTTCTAATAGAGCTCGTTTAAATATTCCACTGGTATCTAAGCAGCTCTTGATAGGCTTCAAGTTCGAAGATATCAATTCTTTCCCAATTCTGGTATTATTCTGCTGGCAAATTAAAACACTTTCTCCGCTTGTATCTCTTCCCATTCGACCAGCACGCCCGATCATTTGATGGTATACTAAATTATCCAATGGCTTGCCGTGGAATAATGGAGTACGAATAATTACTCTCTTAGCGGGTAAATTAACACCAGATGACAAGGTGGATGTTGCAACTAGTACTCGTAAAGTCGTGTTTTTAAAAGCAGCTTCGATTATTTCCCGTTCATCCATTGTCAAACCTGCATGGTGAAAAGCAACTCCAAATGAAATGGTTTTTTCTAAAACCTTATCTAACCCACTAGGACATTGTTTTAAGTGTTCTAATAACTCTTTGATTAGGTCAGAATTTAGTTGCTCCCTCAGTATCAACCCGAATTCGGACTTTGAACAGCCAATTTTCCAAAAAGCTTGAGCTATTTGCTCTGCAAGACTTTCACACCAATTCTTAGTGGGGCAAAATATTAAAACCGAACACGAATCTTTAATTGTTTCCAAACATAAGTATAAAATATGATCTGTATCAGTCTCCAACTCAGCAGGAGGCTGTATGGTACGTAGTAATTCTAAATTTTTATCATAAACTTCATTACCAACAAGGCACTGCTCATACAAAGGAATTGGCCGGAAGTCAGTCACATACACTTCGGCATTCAACCACTTTCCCAAAATTTCTAAATTGGGTAAGGTAGCAGACATTCCGATAATTTGTATATTGACATTGTCTAAACGTGAAGACATATACCTTAATTTAGTCAGCGTTAATTCCAACAAATATCCACGATTACAGTCCCCTAATAAATGTATTTCGTCAACAATGACTGCTCCAATATCTTCCAATTTCCCTTCCTCTAGCAGTCTATTAATGATAGTGTTGGCTTTCTCAATTGTACATACTGCAAGCTGCACGGCCGGAAACCCTCCCGGAGGATTGTATGACCCCATAAAACCTTCTACACGTACTCCGGACGTTCCTAAAATGTCTTGTAAGTAAAATGTCTTTTCACGTACAACAGACACAAATGGTAAAATAAATAAAACTTTCTTTTGCCTCTCTATCACAGTTTTGATGGCTAATATTTCTGCGACTAGCGTCTTACCAGCAGACGTAGGGGCAGAGTAAACTAAATTACAACCTTCTGTCATCAGTTTTTCACCAGTTAAACATTGTGCTTGCCATTGGAACATCTTGGTGACATTCTTTCGCTTGTATCTTTCCAAAATAGCTGGTGGTAAACCCCAGGAAGAAAGTAAGCGGTTTTCATCATTAACTTCTGTTATGGATTGTGTATTTACTAACGGTACATTTTGTGAACAGCCGTCCGACTTTCTCTGTATCGACAGAAAGCTCACATTGGCACTACTTGGGGTAGCCGAGGAACCTTGATAGGATGAGACAAACTCTTGTAAAAAGGCCGAATCATCTACAGAAACGTTAAATGAGGGGTTCTTATTAGAACTAAAACCATCAGGATCCAAAGAGGTAGAATACAAATCGTCTTTGTTATGACTTTCGAATATTGAATGTGGATGTTGTAAATTCACTTTATCTGTTAGTGTAATGTTGTCCAATGTATCTCCAAAGGTAAATGCTGTATTCATAACTGTTACTGTTACTTTAAAATGTTAATAATATTAACATATTAGTTTTTAAATCTTTGTTGATTATATTTGAATATTTTGACAGTTGACATTTCAACCGTTCTTTTATTGTGTTTCACGTACCAGCACTTTGTATATGGAATTGCAAATACTAAGCGTTCGTTAATCATTGACACAACGCGATTGCAGTGGCTTAGGCAACCAAAGATGCACTGATGTCAATCCTGAAGACTTGGCGTAAGTTAATAATAAATCCCCACATTTATATGAAGGGTGAATCTAACATCAGATAGTACTTATTTAGAGAAACAATAAATTAATTTTATTTTTTCATATATGAGAAGTTTTTGTTAACATTTAATATAAAAATATCACAACCAATAATAATTCCGATAAAGCGGGGTGTACCGCAAGGACCTATTCTTGTTCCCCTGCTTTTCTTAATTTACACTGTATACTGTACGCCGATGATGCAACAATAATTTCTACTGATCAGAACTCTAAAAATGCATACTCTACCATTCAAGAGTGTATCAGGATTATTGACGTATCGTATGCCGATAACGGCGATAACACCCTAAAGCTAAATCTTGCCATTATCATTGAGGAAGAATATTACTAATATTGAATTCAAAACTAGTTTTCTAGGTTGTGTTATCGACACTAAACTAGATTTTAACCATTAGTGCAGTAGTCTAACAAAAAAGTTGCACAGGTCAATATTTCTATTAAATCGACTGCGAAGCAATTCAATCTGCCTCCTTGCTTTTGTTCAGAGTATTATTTCCTATGCAATTCTTGCTTGGGCCACAGTTCCCACTGGCGGTGTATTTTTAAATTACAACGCAGAGCTCTTCGCGTAATAGGTGGCAATGGACATAGAGAAGAACTGTCCCGTGCATTTGTATCAGAAGCCGTATGTTATACTAAACGTAATAAATCTCAGAATACAATGCAACATGAACTACACCAATATGACACTAGAAACAAAAATAACATACGCTCTGAATTTTGCAGGCTACGCAAATCTGTACGTCGTTCGTCTAGTTAAGTCTTGTCGAGTCCTAAATTCTATTATTAAAAAAAAATAAAAATAAAATAAAATAATGAAAATAGTAAAAATAATTAACAAAAAATGAAATACAATAATAAAATAAAAACACACATTTCCTACAAGTTTAGCAATTAAATTAAGTGGCGTTGTTTATTGTGTAAGTGTTTGTTTGCATATGCGTTTGGGTTGGATACGAATGGGTTGTGATAATGTGGTGTGTTTCTGAGAAGAAATTTTTTTAGCTGTGCTATTATTATTTTCACAAAGTAAGTAGATACAAATTGTTAAAGTAAATAAAACAATTCATTCACAGGCATAAATTCTTTAAAGTGCCCATAACATTGGTTGCGTTTCCTCTTTGAATTAAATCATTTCTTTAATTTGTCGTTTCTTGCCGTCAGCTTGGCTCGACGTTTTAAAGTTTGCTTCCTTTAAATTTATATTTATCTGTGTAGCTGTAATTAGTTTTTACCGTTCTCCTGTCTTAACGATTCTTCATTGTTAACGTTCCGGCTTCACCGCTTAACTTTTTACTCAATTTTTAGCGCATTTCCACAAAAATAAAAAAAAATGCGCTATTGTGGCCACTTTGTCCGTCCGTCCGTCCGTCCGCCCGTCCGCTCGTTTTGCGACGCTACTAGTTCTTTATCTTAAGAGCTATTGTTCTACTTTTTTCGCTATTTGGTTCGTTATGGTGTCGAGTCTTGTACCAAGGAAGCAATTTTTTCTGTACCGCTTACAAAAAAAGTTATTGTAAAAAAAACAAAAAACCGTTTTTTACATGTTCCATAATTATACACTTTTGCCGTTTATTAACGATCCTAGAGATCGTTTATAATTTTGCATTGCTATCTGTCGCCTGCCGGTTGGTCTCTCCGTCTGTTCCTTTGTCTGTATGTCCATCTATCTGTGCGTGTGAACGATAACTTTGTTTAGAAATGTTCGATCGCTTTTACATCTCCGTTAGTTATGAACTGAATTGCATGAAATTCAATATGGGCATAGCTTTAGCCTTATAATACGCAATGCCAAAAGTTGAATCGAATCGATTCAAAATTCACAGTGCCCTTTTCGCATCTCGACCATTTATAAACCGAATTGCAAACTTTTTTTACTTATAAAAGTATTTGAATGAAATTTGATACATAGGCACTTGAAATAAAGGAAAATCAAACGCCAATTTCAAAATTTGGTTTTGCGCATGCGCAGTGCCAACTGTTTTATTTATGGAAGAATTTAAATGAAATGTGATACATAGGTACGTGGAATAAAGGAAAATCAAACGCCAGTTTCAAAATTTGGTTTTGCGCATGCGCAGTGCCAACATTTTTATTTATGGAAGAATTTAAATGAAATATGATACATAGGCACTTGGAATAAAGGAAAATCTAGCGCCAGTTTCAAAATTTGTAAACGTTCGGCCTTTAACCTTTTAGAATTTAACTCATTAACCTGTTCAAGCAACTATTGTATCGGTGACCATTTGAGTAGGCACTTTTTAGTTTTACTGCCCCGTTTTTGGGGGGTTTTCATTAATGTAGACAGTTCGTGCACACCCTTCCATTAGAACACCTGAAGATGACGTCAAGTCGAAACATGTAGGTACTGTTTGTGTCTTCCTTCTTTTTTACACTTAATTAAATTGTATGGGAACGGTTTCGAGAAAATTCAAACCCTTAATTTAAAGGTACCCGTTATACATAAAAATACACAACCGAATACCAGCAATCTCTATTGCACTTACGTAAACTTTTTTATCTAACAACCCATAGGTACATATAATTATAATATATTCGGAAATTAAAATTAAATATAAAACTAAAGTAGCCGTTACAATAATTAATAGGTGGTTCTGGGTATGAATCTTTTCATTCATTCATTAAATCAAAATCATAAGTAGGCACATAGATTTGTAATAAAATGTAATATTTGTTTGATTTTGATTTTTGATAAACGTACTCGTAGATACGTTTGGAAATAGTTGATGTTCTTGTCAAACCTTAATTCAGAAAACTGAAATCTTTGCAGACACTTTCAAAACTTATTGAATAATAGAAGTTTTACCCTGCTAACTACTTGTTGCGATTGGTTTTTAAAAGCATTGTTATATCACTTTTGTTTCACAAACACATTTATATACCGAAACTCTCTTGGGTCGTTGGGCGTAGGATATAGATAGATAAAAGGAATCAATCTGAATAGTAGGTAACTATATGTTACTGTCACACACCGAAAGGCAATTAATTTAGATCACTATTAGAATCTCCGAATCCTATGCGGTTTATCATTTTAGGCTCTACGTTCGGATTATCATTTATCAACCTTGTTTTGATACCATTAACACTTAATGAGAAACGGGGGTATTCCGTGCACGTAAGATTTCCGAGAACAGAATATCATCTGTAATTGAGACGATTTGTCACATAGTACAAATAAGATTTACGGATACCCATAAATTTTATTCATTTCTGCTTGTGAGAAACACTTCCATCATTTCGTGCAACAAGTTCATTATTTGGAAATTGTGTAATTGGTTATATTTAATTATATAAATTCAATTATTAAATACTACCTAGTTTGTTTTAATCAATATATTTATTGATGATTATTACTTTTCTTTTTTTAATTTAAACTGTTGAAAAAAAACAGCACGAAGCATGCGATGTAATCTGTCGCCTCTCGGACTCATTCTCATCTCGAGTCATACTAAATTCTTTTGAAAATTAACTTTCCGTTATCCACATGTAGAAAGAAACATTATTGGATAACTTGTCCAATATTTACCAATCAAGTTCCATTGGTGAAGTTTTAACGGACATTGTGCCCTTTAGTAGTACAATACGATACGTTAATTCGCAAAAATAAAGTTAGATGGTCAAAACACAAAGATAAACGCATTATGAAGCTGGTATGAAAAAGAGTAGTCATAGCAACGCGCTGATGAAGTTAAATAATTTCAAATTTTGTCAAAAATAGACGCTTCGTGTTCTAAAGGTTTTGCATTGGAAATCGCTTATCATGTAGGAAACTATGTAAGAATCTCCGACACAAAAGTATCTTTGTAGCGAAGGTACGAAGTTTTATTTCATAACTAATTTTTTTCATTTTGTACACAAACATAAAGGGTAGGTATAGGTATTTCATTTTAGGATTTAAGAATATTACTCTTTGGTGGTACAGTTACTCTTTGGTGGTACCAATGCTGGGTATTGGTGAGAGTTGCAGGTTGCATCATTAGAAGAGCCGGAGAAATATAATACAGGCCACTGTTTTCGGGTTACACTGTTGTATTTACGGTGGTAATGGTTACACGCGTTACTCTTCTTGCAAATCCTGAAATCGACATTAACGTTTTGAAATCTACAATACTGGCTGGGTCAATTGAAAATTGCTTAAGGGGTGCAAACAATTTGTATTATTATTTGCAAAATTATGAACATGTATGAAAAGCTGGAGAAGTCGCTTAGAATTCGGCAGATTCGGTCTATATACCTGGTGACTTTGTCCACTATTTAGATCGCTATTACTATATCGTCAGATTACAAAATGGTTTCTTATAACATTAACTATTAACTTTGAATGTAAAATTTTGGTCAAATAGAAACATTAATCGGTAAAGATCTGAATTTTGGTATAGGCACACGTTTATTGGAACTTTCTATTGAACATACTAAAAGTCCCTGTCAAAATCTGTTGCGCTCCAGCCATCTTGGCAAAACTGTACACTTTTCCAGTTTTTTGCCCATATCTCGGTATTTATTACTGACACGAAGAAATAGTTTAGATTAAAAATATAGCTTACTAAATTCCCTATAAAAAATAGTATCTCCGATACTTTAGCTGTAATCTGACGTTGAATACGTCAGAACGCGTTTAGGCCCCGGTTCGTAATTGTAGGAAGGATAGGTAACTCAAGACAAGCTTTTGGGTAACGATAATAACAAATCTCGATTGATTTCAATGATATCGGAGAGATCTAGAAATGAAGGGTTTGAGATCAGGCAAGCTGAAGATGATGCTGATACCCCTAT